GGATTCGGTTAATGTACCGATAAATGCCGTTAATATGTCGATAGATTCGATTGATATGCCGATAGATGGCGTTAATATGTCGACAGATTCCGTTAATGTGTCGGCATGTGTCGTTAATATGTCGACAATTCCGTTAATGTGCCAACAGATTCGGTTAATGTTGCGACAGATGCCGTTAATATATCGACAGATTCGGTTAATGTTCCGACAGATGCCGTTAATGTGCCAACAGATTCGGTTAATCTTCCGACAGCCTAGCGAACGCTGACAGTGGGTGGCGCTGATACAAGCCTACGCATTAATATTCAGAGGCAGACTGTAACTTCACTTTCACTGAAAACTCGGCGCCGGTAAACATACAAAAATTAAATGAAGAGTCACCTTAAGAGGCGGGATCGATACGTTTGTGGCGCAGTGGTTACTGCTGCCTGCGATCGGTCAAATGCTCAGGGACTCAGAGCCAATGTGACGTGAAATGGGCTATCTCCCTTTCGTCCCATGTCATCCTTCCGGATTTATTGGCCAGAATCATTTTGAAGCTCAGTACACCTGAAACTTATTTCAAGGCTCAAGACAATTTTGCCTGTTCTTTGAATGGGAATATCATTCATATTTCAGAGGAGGGGTCCATTTTACAGCGCTTTCCGTATTTACACTACACAGCGTTGTTCGATAAGAACTATCGATAGATGTTGAATTTGGAAGAATCTAGAAGGAAGTGGTCGTAGCCTAATAGAGGCAATATCCAGACATTTGCCTGGATAGAGGGACGAAGACCACAAAAGCTATCGATCAGGATAGCTGGCGTCCCAGCCGAGATTAGAACCGGGTGCCTTCCGAATACAAATCTAGAGTGTACACTAACTTGGGTATGGTCTTGGCGGCCGGAGTTCGATTCCCAGTGGATTCAGAGACTTGTCTTCTCCACACCGTCCAGGCTGACTCTGGGTCCCACTCAACTACCCACCCAATTATCTCTGTTCCCCCACAGGTTCTCACAGCGTTAAGCATAAAGCTACCCCTGTAACAGGCCGTGGAGCCTCATAGGGTTGTGAGACGTCGAGGCTCCCACATTTTCTAGACAGTCGGCTCACAGATGGCGGTGAGGTTGTCAGCCTTACGCGCCGGCTGTCCTTTACTCCCCAGGAAGAATCCCGGTATTAATTTCTGTTAGAGGCTGAGTCGACCCCAGGGCCACAGTGCGGCTGGAAGGGTTAGATCAAATGAAAAGTCAAATGACCTCACCGGGAATCGAAACTTGGAACTTCGCCTCCTAGTATAGTGCCTCAACCAACTAGGCTACCGTGTGCCTCAGTTTTCACAGCGTGGCACTCAGTTAATTAAACACAGAGGCAACTGCTTACTTCAAAATGTACATACCGGACAGGTTGGCACAGCGGCGAAGCCCTAGACCTACATTCAGGAAGTGCTTGGTTCGAATTTTGGTTGAGTTCCCGATATCCTGACTAAGGTGTTTCGTGGTTCTCCTCACTCCTTCCAAGAAAGTGCTGGAATATTATCCCGATTAGTACCCAACCGCTTCCTTTCAAATCCTTTCCCAGTTCTTCATTCAATCCAATCATGCCATAACCAAACAGAAACCACAAACCATTTTCAGTCACTGGTTACATCGTGAACAAGGAGAAATACCAGCTCTTCATTCGGGTTGTGACCACTTCCCTTGCAAAAGTCGCTGTATATAGCAAAATAAAATACTAGAGAAGTTATGTAATTAAAATCCTGTATTCGTTACTAAGCAACGTTCGGTCATCGAACACTTGGTTCCTTTGCAAACATGCAGAACAATTACACAAAGTAGAATTTACCGTCCTCCATACAACAATATCAAGATTTTAAATTAAATCCTTTTGAAATCCGCCACTGTTCTACATGTTTCGGCCCACTCGGCCATCATCAGGCGCGTTGAAACTAGGGGGGGGGGACTGCTGTGCCTTCCGCGCTACTGCGCTGACAGTTCAGCCACACTGCACACTAGACACACAACAGGCAGTACATGTGGCGTAGAAGGGGGAACCGCATTGACTGCATTTAGCAACACTGTAAATACGAAACACAGATCGCAGTAGCGCGGAAGGCACAGCAGTTCCCTCCTAGTTTCAGCGCGACTGATGATGGCCGAGTGGGCCGAAACATGTAGGGCAGTGGCGGATTTCAAAAGGTTTTAATTTTAAATCTTGATATTATTGCATGGAGGGCAGTAAACAACTGAAAATAATATGTAAGTTTTGAGGTTTTCACGGCGATGACTATGAAGAAAGTCGTCTTCTGGGTTTAGGCACCGTGTATTCTTCGTTTTGGCCGACGTTTCGGAGGAACGTAGCGCCTCTGTCTTCAGAGCAGTTGAATGGCTTGGAATGCAGAGAGCAGTAGCTGTAGTGATAGGATGTGAAAGGCGCTGCTTATATACGAATAGCCAGGAGGGTTGGTTAGGGAGAACGGACCAATGGGAGCAGTGGAGAGCGATTAAGACCATATATGGTGTTGTGTGCTAAGGGGGGGGGACGGCCAGTGAATCCAGGAAACTTGAGGTCAATAGCACTAGGAAGTTGCGGTAGACAAGAAGAACCGGTAGGTTGGGGACAGGCTACTGACGTCANCCCCCTTAGCACACAACACCATATATGGTCTTAATCGCTCTCCACTGCTCCCATTGGTCCGTTCTCCCTAACCAACCCTCCTGCCTATTCGTATATAAGCAGCGCCTTTCACATCCTATCACTACAGCTACTGCTCTCTGCATTCCAAGCCATTCAACTGCTCTGAAGATGGAGGCGCTACGTTCCTCCGAAACGTCGGCCAAAACGAAGAATACACGGTGCCTAAACCCAGAAGACGACTTTCTTAAACTGAAAATAAATTCCAATACCAACTGCAATAGGATGCTAAGATAGAACATTAATTACGTAAAGATTTTCGCATCTTTGGCAGTGGGACTTCAATATATAAACTGTAGCCCCACATTGCTGTACAACACCGCAGACATAAGCCTAAGCACCCTGCGGTGTAACCTATAGCCAGAGGCGTGACAAATGTTGATGTGTTCATTCATTCGTCACTGGCTCTACAATCACTTCTGGAGCCCTGGCCGTTTCTTGCAGTTTCGTAATCCTATACACAGACGGTAGCGCCTCTTTGACAGGGGATTCGCCCGCCGCAAAACAGCTACCTACACACAGGACAACACAAAGGCAGAATAAAGCAGACAGACATTCATGCAGTGAGTGGCATTCGAACCCACAACCCCAGTGTTCGAGCGGGCGACGACAGTTCACGCCTTAGAGCATGCGGCCACTGTGATAGGCAAATTGGTGAGTGTATATATATATATATATTTTTTTTGGCAAAGCAAAGGTGATGACACATTGTGGACAGGAAAAAATGGCTTCTCGAGAGGCGGAGATACCAGAAGACCTCAAAATTTACTCGTGGAAGTGGGAACTAGGGATACGAACAGCATCCAGAACCTACAAATCAACAATGAAGATCACTGCCATACGGGAATTAACGCCGTGAAGTCTGGTAGGTGTACTCTCACTAGACTACACGGCTGTACAACCCCGAAGATAGTCACGGCTGTCAGAACAACAGATCCTCATCCAAATCAGCACTTCCGAAGTGCTACAGCACGCACTGCCGCAATACACAGTAGATTTCGTAATATTCTTGGGTGTTCTCTATTCGGTCCGCAGCAGGAAATATAAAACCTACAGAATACTGACAGGAAAGTTGTGTCTTGTGCGGGATATTAAATGACACAAGAAGTCACTGACAACCGAATCTAAGGCACCATAAATTCTCAATTCCGTCCTGACATCCCCCCCTCCCGCTATTCTTTGGAGATAAATCCATTTCCGGTGTTTTGTTCCAGAACGCACACATCAAAACCAGTGCAAATATCTGCTTTGCAATATATATGAGTTGTCCTATGGAGGGGCTGTCAGCTACGAAAACAATAACAGTTACAATGATCACAGGTAATATCAGTCAGCCAACATTTCACAGCTGAAATGTCACAGTAGTGCTCAACCTGTGGTCCTCAGGCCATTTTGAGACTATCGTTAACGTTATCACATGACTCTCATAGACAGCTCAGCCGTGAAGTGAGCTTACGTGTTACGTCACGGCTCGACTCGACGGGAGGAGCGAGCATGCGCACTCGCAGTAACAGTTTCACTTTATTTTATTAGTCCACCTGCCTTATTTAAACAACATAAAAGTAAGTTTATGAGAACACTTGCTGTCTGTGTATCCCCCGTACCGTTGCTAAGCATCGGCTCGACAAACACGTTCCCATGGCAAAGAATACGCACGCAACAACAGAAGAACTGGAGGACGCATTGTTTTGTATGTGGTCCGTGTTGTATCGGATACTCAGCACGTAGTGAAAGGAAAGTAGGTCCTCGCCAGCAGCTATTCTTGGTTCTGAGCACTCGGAAGCAGAAATGACTATGCTTGCGAGGACCCGCAACATTTCACCCGACCCGACCCATAAACGAAGTAGTTGTGCGGTGAGTGCGTTGTCAGTGTGTGTGTGTGTGTGTGTGCGTGTGCGTGTGTGTGTGTGTGGGTTTGTGAGACGTCGAGGCTGGAGGAGAGGACCAGTTAGTGACTGAGTTTCTGCTCAAGTCACTCCAGTAGAGGGGGGAGTGACAAGCAGTAGTCAAACCCCTCCTCCCGTCGAAGAAAAGACCCAATTACAAAATTCGTAAATGACTGGAAGAACAAATATATGGCCATCGGTTCCGACGAGACCCGAAACCAAGACTGACTGTGCTGGCGAGGACCAGCAGAAATTTACGTGCTCCAACCTGTACCAGCGCCCATGCTACCTCAATGGAAACACAGTTTAGGATACTTACGCTTAGTCAGAGATGTAAGATAAACGATAACAATTCAAGTATAAAAACAACTTCGGTGTGTAATGGCGTTGTCTGACTCGGAGGTGAGATTGTGACGTCACTGGACACTTGTGTTTCCAGGTGGGAGGAACCTGCTGCGGACACTTGACGGACAGGCACATTTCCCGCGCAGGATAAGGAGCGGTCTAGACTCGCTCTCAGGAGTGACATTCGGCTGGAACAAGAGGCTCGACTCGCTCAGGTAACCTGCTTCTACGTAAGGTATTTTTATCTCTCCCGTTTGTGTGGCAAAGCCATTTTGGTTTCCGGCCATAAAGGTAAAGCTATCCCTGTAACAGGCCGTGAAGGCCCATAGGTTTGTGAGACGTCGAGGCTCCCACATTTTCTAGACAATCGGCTCACAGATAGCGGTAAGGTTGTCAGCCTTATGCGTCGGCCGCCCTTTACCCCCCAGGAAGATTCCTGGTACTCAATTTTGTTAGAGACTGGGTCGACCCCAGGACCATAGTGCGGCTGGAAGTATTAGGTAAATTGAAAAATCCAATGACCTCATCGGGAATCGAAACCGTGACCTTCCGGCTTGTAGCTTGGTGCCCCCGGGTTCTGACCATACCGAGCGACAAGGCGTACATTACTCGGACGTGGTCTGTACCCTTAAGGAAGTTTTTGGTGACATTCAATATGACAGATCTATGCAGATTAGTTAGTCATACTGGCTGTTAGCAATAATCACGGATTACAAAGACGGCTTTATATGAAGCCGCAAATGCAATTCTCCATGTAACCCATCCCATAAGGTGTTTCAGAGACGCTGATAAGCGGTATCATGTATCATAATGTTTAAATATAAATCCTGTTCGTTTTTCCTTTCAACACTGCCAAATGTAGGGGTGACTATAGGATTTCTTGACACCTTATATACACCACTTGTAACTGCAGGAAATTACGGCGATATCGCTGATCTACACACTTTACAGTTCACCATTATACACATACTAGGGTTCTCAGTTTTCAACAGTCGTATCCTGGCAACGGATTTTAACACAGTAATTTTATCAGTCTCACTGTAACTGCATCACACATGAAGTCTTCTTTCACAGTCGCATTCTTACACTCAAACCGTTGCCATCTCTTCCCAATCATCTTCGACTGCCGCCTCAAGAGACTCCCCCAATTACGATTCTGCTCCCTTTGGCTCCTCGTTACATAGCCTTGGGTCGGCTTCAACAAAAAACGCCGTTTTCTAACTCTTCCTCTCTTTTCAGAGAGTTGTGTTTACCTCGCCGTTGCAAAGAAGCATCAGTTCATTTGTTCATTTCCGCGGGAATCTGTTTACCGAGGCGTTGCCTGGCAATGAATGTCTACTCTGGCTCCGCTATTCCGGCTTTCAGGCGTCATGCCACAATACAGTTTTTGTTAAATGGCTTGATATAAATCGATCTCAAGTAAGCTTAATAAGCTGCAAAGAATGCCGTTGGTGATTTCATACACTACAATATGCCTTTCGCGTTTACTGAAAAGGGATTATGAAAAGTGTTTTGGAGACCAGGTGAACCCGAAAAGAGGTAATAAAGACTGTTTCATTAGCCACGTGGTCGGCCTCTATTGGGTAGTAACCCGCTCTTCTCTTTCGTCCAATCACGGCTTCATATTTCAACTCACGTGACTGCTCGACAGCAAACTGATTCATGTTTCCGCGTCTCACGGCTCTGGGAACTTCAGAGACCCACTCACCGCCCACTGCGAGATCTGTACAAAGTCTTCAAAATCTCCCCTCCAATGACTGCGCTGACGAGAGCCTGGAGCAATTTACCAGAAACCGAACAAAAGATATTAGGGCACTGTCGTGAGATAGAAAATATAGTTATGAGTCCCGCGAGGCCAGAACCAAGAATAACTGTGCTGGCGAGAACCAGCAGCACTTTACTCGACAGACCAAAGACATTAACCCCGAAGGTGGCAACTGCAATGTTTGCCGAAACGGTTGAAAACTTTCAACATTATACACGGCGTATTCCCGAATGCCAATTGACACACTGTATGTTACAATGACTGAACGTTGTAAACAACTGGAGTTACTAGCCAACGCCCACCTATATTCGAACCCCGTGCCCTTCAGTCTGGGTCGTAAATTTAAACTGAATTTATTAAAGAAGGTTTCAGACAAGTGTTTTTCGATTAAATTAAGTTCGTCTGTGTTGCTATTTTAGTTTTATAGGCTGCCAACGCATCTGAGTCCAGCCATTAAGGCGCCGGAACAACATAGCAATAACATCAAGTAGAGCGAGTTCCATGCGCTGAACCAGTTTCCTCACATTCAGTCAATAGCGCAGAAGATAAAGAGAAATAAGCGCAGATTAAATTCGGGGATACTTGCTACATTTCGGTTCAGTATCCTCTGTGTTCCTGTCTGCAACCTGACACTGTAAAGGCTGTAATTGTGTCTGTTCTCTTCCCCGCTGTTTGGTCAACTGAGTCCTCTGCATCTCAGTTACGTACTGTCGAGTGATAACTGACTCCATGGAGCTGAGCCCTTCTTGAGAAGCTGCAAGTTGCGCAGCTACTCAAGAACTTCCCAGTAATTTATGGAACCCGAAGGTTCATTACCGTGCTCACAAGAGCCCTTTACTGGCCCCTATCCTGAGCCAGATCGATCCAATCCCTACCACCCCATCCTATCTCTCTAAGACTAATTTTAATATTAACCACCCACCTACGTCTTGGTCTTCCTAGTGGTCTCCTTCCTTCTGGATTTCCCACGTCACAAAATGTCGAGTGATACGTTTATTAATGACCAATGAAGTACAAAGATCTGTTAGGAAGCGGTTATGGCCCAATTAAGGTGATTTACTAGTATTTTTCTGCAAGGGCTGAGTAAAACCATTAAACACTTCAGTTCTGTATGAGTGTGTGAAACTCAGTCCCTCATGCTGATGGGAGAACACGGACTGACAGCGCTGTAGTAGGAGAATATTGAAACCTGTCATGGCGGAAGCAACAGGGATGTAGGTAAAGTGGTATTATGAACTTAGTAATGTGTTCCTCTGGAAAAATACGATTAGGATTGTAAAATCAAGGAGGATAAGATTGGTAGGTCCTGCAGCACGCGTTGGAGAGAAGAAAATTGCATAGGTGGTACATTGTTGTGGTAGGAAAACCTGAAGGAAAGAGACCAATTGGAAGATCTAGACGTAGATAAGAGGCTAGTATTAAAATTGATCTTAAAAAAATAGGACGTGAGGGTGTGGATGTCACCCATCTGATCAGATTAGTGACTGGCTCTTGTGAACATTCTAAAAAGTGAGGGGAATTTCGCTTGCTGCGCAATTACAGGAGATATGAAATATAGTACACCGCATAAGTCCTGAAGCCATTTAATATTTTATGTTTCAGTGGAATTACTTTCGGTAACCAGAAGAGAAACTTCGATGAAATCGACCGCACGGGATTCAACGGCTTTGTGAAGAAGAATTTCGACGAGATCGACCGCTCTGGGTTCGACGGCTTTGTGAAGAAGAATTTCGACGAGATTGATCGCGTGGGTTTCGGAAGTTTTGTCAAAAGGAATGCGCCCCTAACGCTCTATCGCAACTACGACAAGGAGGACCACTAAGGTCAAAAGAAATACATTTCGAGAATTCCTATGCATGAATGCCATTAGGTGCCCGCTTTGGGGCAGGCCACAAAACTGAAAGCATTTTCTTTCATCTGAATACATTTTCAAGCTTATGATTTAAGACTCTGGCCTCAATTATGGAAACGTAACAGAGCACACAAATTGTGAACATGTATAACAAGAATCAGATAATAAACTCATAGGAACTCTTCGATTTCGAGTTGAAATACACGCACAAAACTGGGTGCAAGAGGCACCATGCGTGATTCTCCAAAATAAATACCACCGCTTTATGACAAATTAAATTTGTGGGTAGTGAAATTATGGCAATAACACAAGATTTTCATACTAAGTGTCAGGCTCGCCTAAATCCCGCAACTAAACCTGCATAAAGTAACTCGCTCAAGACGAGCAGAACGAAATTTCGTTATTTTCCTGCCACTGTCTCCGAACTTCAAATATTAGGAAAATATTGTGCAACATATTTATCTCTTACGAAATTAGTTTTCTATTGATTTAACTTTATCGCTGTTTGAGTGGATTGTTGTGTCTGAAGCTTTAGTTGAAATTAGATAATTCACGAAGTGTCAAAAGTCTCTCTGGCCTACATGTGATTCAAATTCTGTTACATAAAATTGTTGTTGAATCAATGGAGCGTCTAAATGTAAAATACAAATTTCTAACATAAAGCAGATACGTTATCGTACAAGGTTACAGTCGACTTCTATGTTCTGGCAGACATGTCCCTTCGAAATGTTGCTCTCTTTCTGCCAGATTACACGGCGTCATGTCCTAGAAGACCGTAATCTTAATATTCGCCATCACGAGAATCTCAAATCTCACTGTCGTACAAATTTACGCTGTGTCCATTGTAGCTAGAACATCCATTATCGAAGCATTCGTTTGCATTAATCAATCGTCCGGGAAAATGTCCCAAATACTGTATTTATTACTTATGTTATTATATTTTGTTAAAATGGCAAAAACCTGTATCAGGATTGTTCCTCTGCAAATAATTCACTTATCAACAATAAAATTGTGTCACGACACACGGATTTATACCGAGAAATCATGTCTCGATAATAACGATATCTCACTTAACAGTCAAACATCACAACAATTAAACTCTAAATGAACAATAAATCGTAATTAAACTGAGTTTTAAGCCATGTCTTCTTGTACTAACTTCGTCAAGTTTAGATGAACTTCTCTAAGCAACCATAACCTCCACAGTTATGAAATATGACATATATCGTATGTAGTTAGAGGTTCTCTGTACCTGTCGAATTAATTTATGATGATTTACTTGTAAGTATATATCTTTCGTGTTCAATTTCCATTTGTTCAAATCCAAGTACTTTATTGAAAAGCATTTAAAATATATTTACAAGAAAATGTCAGCAGACACAGAGCGCTACGCGTGTGACAGATTTCATAACTATATATTTTGCGGTTGAATTTGATAAAATTAACATCAAGAACGCAGAATTTGCAGTCTCCCCATGGAGAAATTAATTTATATAGGGATTACAGTGGCAGTTTACTAAATTACCGCGTTGCTGTATTTATAAGGAAACGCGCGATGTTCCATGCGTACTGAGGCCTTCATTTGTCATGTCGCTGGGAAGACGCCATTTTAAATTACTCTCTCATGATATATAGCGAACAGCGTATTAAACTATATTTAGGGGAAAATCCATACAAATGGTACACCAATGTCTTGTATTTGCATACATTTACAAATTTGGCGAAATGCATATTATGGACTATATCAATTTATTTTGCACTTAATCCCTGTGGGCATGATGCCCTAAATTACATACGAAATTATGTTTATATATTCCACGGTTACTTTTGAGAGCTGCCCATGGTTCCGTGGAGCCATGTACGGAGAACTGTGAACCACATTTCTAATTTGGTAGCAAAATCATAGCGTTGTACCAGGTAACTTATGAAACTGGGGAGGTAAGTGTACCCTACAATCTGTAATTGTTGGTTCAATTGTACTGGAACCGTTGTAATTCAGAATATCGGTTCAGACTTCAACGCTTATTTGCGCAATGTACAGTCCTGATTCAGAAAGTCGCTAGCTTATACAGAAATCTTAGTTTCTGATGTAACATTGCTTCTAAATGAACCTAGAAGACCGTGGTGTACTGTACAAAGTAAACAATAAACTAAGCTATACACAAGCTCTGTGGTCCACTAATTAATATCAATGCCCAGACGCAATTACAAGGTTGTGACGCCTTGCGCAATAATCTCTTCCCGAGATATATCTCCTCCAACTTCAGCACATGTTCCTCCGAAACGTCGGGTGATTTTCAACTGACTACACGACGTTATAATCCATAACCACAGCTGCGATAACCTCAGACCTTACATTTTTATGTGGTTTATTGATTTCTAGGCTATATTATACAGCCTCGGGTGCTAAGATGTAAGGTGAAAAGGGTTAGGTTGTCCTTCTGCTTAATTACTTAAGCATTATGCCATGAAAGCATAAGGGGGAGTGGAGGTATAGCTCCATTATTCTTAACCTCGGCACTAGATGGAGGTTAGTGGTCAGCTTCGCTCTCCAGCCGCTACCCCGGAAGAAAGGGCCCCCGATTCTCATTGGATGAGGCTGAGTGGGCTCCAGAGCCAGTTCCGATGACGTGCAGAAGAGAAGAATTTTGCACTGCCGGGAATAGAACCCAGGCCACCCAGCCCGGGTAGAATGACTGACGAAATAACTGAAAAACATCTTGAAGGAAGGGGTCGTGGCCTAATCGAGGTGTTATCCTAACATATGCGTGGAGGTAATGAGAAAGACAACTAAAACCGTTTTGCAGGATCGCCGGTGTTCTGTGTGAGATTCGAACCGAGCACATTCAGAACACAAGTCCAGAGGTTTACTGCTTTTCCAGCCCGCCGGTGACGTCTGGCTTGATCCAGCTCAGCTCCGTCTGCATCTCATAAAGTTTATTTCAAAGCTACTGTTTCGTCCACCCTGACCATCCCCTAGAGTCTATCAGATTCTGCGCCCCCAAACTCTGAATGCCCTTCTTACGAGATCTGGGAGGTTCCCTCGGAGCTGAATATCAAGACGAGGAGGGTGGTATGGCAGGGACTGTAGCATGAATGGGAAGAAGAATGCATATAGGATTCTGGTGGTAAAGCCTGATAGAAAGAGAAAACTAGGAAGAACTAGATGTAAGTGGGAGGATAATATTAGGATGGATCTTAGAGAGATAGGATAGGGTGATATGGACTGGATTCATCTGGCTCAGGACAGGGACCGGTGGAGGGCCCCTGTGAACGCGGTAATGAACCTTCGGTTTCCATAAGATCCTAGGGAATTCTTGAGTAGCTGAGCGACTGGTGGCTTCTCAAAAAGAACTCAACTCAAAGGAGATATTTACACCGCTTAATATAAAGTTTTTATTGCTAGGGGGGTGGGACTAAGTCCCTTGTACTGCGGCCATTTCTAGCCAGTCGCTATACCGNTTAATCGAGTTATCTCGAGGGTAACATGGAAAGGGTTAATGAGGTAAGAATGTTTCCTCCCTTGATGCCAGAATTATTCCTTGCAGAGGGCTCAGTTTGGGGAGCCTCTAGCTGAGTGCATGTGGTTCAATTACTGCACCACGGTTTCCTTTAATCCCTGAAATGAGAGTTTCGCAACTGAAACCGACATGATAATTGCGCGCGGGTCTGTTTGAGTAAGAGAAACTTTAGAAGCAACTGAATGACGTAGTGCAACAAGGATCTATCACATAAATCATTAAGTTGTTCGTCAAGTGGCTGTTCCAAAAGCAAACGGCTGGCCACCTGTTTGAGGGCAGGAAGGATGTCACAAGAAGGCAGATTGGCCTGCTGGAAACTCTTGTAGGTGCATCGACACCGCTCCTCAAACCGTGTGCCCCCCTTGCCTTCCTCCTTCAATTTTATCGGCTATTTTCCTGCCCAAATCGTGTTATCTCATCTCTTTTCTTCAGAAATGTCTGGCCCCGCCCTTTCAGGGGCCAATGTCTCCCATTGGATCCGCTCGCGATCCCGTTTCGTTTACTCCTTTCCTTATGCCTGTACTCTCGTTCTCCCGCGAGGCTTACTCTTATATCCTGAAGATGAAGGCAGGAAGTTACTCCGAAACCTTGATATAATTGTAACAGACCACATTTTAAGTGACAGTAATTACGTTTGAAAATGTTAACACAGAGTAGATGAAACTGATTTTAAGAACGAAAGCGTGTTCTGAACACAGCTGTGTACATGTCGCCTTTGTATTAATGAAAGAGTTCTCGTACAGATTGGGATCGCGGTACGGGCGTGCATAACGCCACTGCAGTCAAAGCTAGGCAACGGAAGACTGGAATTACAGCTGCTGAAATAAAATGTATGAGATGAACGGTGAAGTGCAATCAGATGGACCACAAAAGAAGTGAAGAATTATGAAAGTAACTGAAAGAACAACAATAAACAGAACCAACTGGACTCAACATGGCAACGGAATGCAAAGAAACAGACTTTCGGAACCGTTACAAATTTAAAAGGAGTATGAGTCAATGAAGACCTTTGAAGAGGCTCCAGGAAGAATATGGCCGGAACGGGTCAACAAATGAGCCAGCCCCATGACTTCCAGTTGTTGATGATGATGATGATGACGATGACGATGATATCTTTCCGCAACGCGTACGTCTTCCTAAACAAACCCTTGCGTACAATTTTAAAGTAAGTGATTCTCTACCAGAAGAAAGCAAGGGCTCGGCACAGCTGATAGAGCTCACAATAAGACATGATCCTGAGCCAGTTCCATCCACCTATTCCCACGCTTACAGCACGTCTCCCTAAGATTCATCTTAATGCTGTTCTTCCATCCCCTTTCTGACCTTCATAATATGACACACCAACAGAGTGGAGCCTAGTCGAATCAAGTCTAATCGATTCTGGCTCACAAAGATAGTGTAAAGAGAGGCCCTCAGCTTCACTGGAGTTAACTGATGTGTGACAAGAAGTATACAAGAATTCTATGCAAAACAAATGGGTCTGCCTTTGTAGCATCTTAGTGAATCAGATTCGATTCGATTAAGTGCAATCGATACAGTCAGTTTGCCAGCAACGTAAGGAATTTCGGCATCAAAATTGTTCACGCGTTTCTCACCTCCCTTGCTTTAATCTACCTGTCCTAAAAAAGAATTGGCCCGCACGTGACCTGTATAAACCGTGAACTTCTCATAAGTTTCACATATAACGCGGGGTCCTCAAATTTCAAAAATATTTCAGACTCAGCTTATCAAAAACGAATATATTTAGAAGGGAGAGGTTGTTCAGGAGGTTTGAAGCAGACACTTGGGTTTAATTTATGCTAGAATGTAACACAATGTAGTCTGGTAGAGGTTTTCTGACGTTTCACAGAAACCTTCTGCCTCCATCTTCAGGTTAGTACTTCAACATTTTAAAGCGCAGTGATTACTGCATGTGTCATCTCCTTTAACAATGAATAAAACTCTACATTTTTTCCCCGCATTGTATTAATGCCTGGCTATTCTGTCTCAAAATAAGCAGCGAATTCTACAACAATAACTCCATTAACTGGTTGATCTTCAAAATGGAGACGTAATTTGGTTTCTGTAAGGGAGGAATCGGGTTTTTATATATTATTTATGTGAATTGAATTAAACCCACACTTCTCGGTCGTGGTGTTACAGGAAGAATGGTATAAAACCTATACATAACACTTCACAAAACGAATATGTCGAACAAAATAATACTTCCGGAGGGGGATATGTCATTGCTCCACCAAGTACATCAGCGGACTACTGACCTAAATCCTCTAGGACTCGAGATGCTATTTCCCACTTGTGCATAAACCAAACAGGAAGAGAGCAGAACATCGACTCACTCAACTCGTAGTTAAAATAGCGACAGGAAATTACACTCACAGCAACGAGAACAGTAACAAACCAAATCATGTTCATTGGGGGACACAGAGAATAAGAGTATTTAAAATTATGAATATTACTGTCCTTTTGGTCATACCGTCGTCTAGTCTGGTACAGATAAGCCGACCTTTCAGAGGAATATGCAGCGTCAATATTTAGGGTAGAAGAGTGGGGAGCAAATTAAGTAGCGTGGTTTTCTTCAATAGATTTGCGAACCTGAGGAAACTGCCTAGAACAGCCTTCACACAGCGAGTAACTACGCAATATTTTAGTTTCTAATGGCAGTGACAGAATGTGACGTTTCAGAGGAACATAACACATCCATCTCCAAAGCAGATGAGGACGGAGGCAGAGCGTTTCTCCGAAAAGTCGCTAAAAATCTATAGAATACATATCGCATCACAGAATACAATTATCCTCATAGTATACTGTCCCTTTTTATTACTTCATTTTAACCAAAATTAGGGGTGGACACATTTCAGTAAAATTCCTCAAACGTCAAATTTAATTAAAATCCTTTCAGCGGTTCCGAAGTTGTTTCATGAGCTGCAGAAGCCCAGTGTGTTCTGCAGGGACGCGAAGACGTCAAAACGTAGTAAACTGTGGTGGTCAAATCGATTGATCAATTAGGAACCGCGATGCTAGCAGTTAAATTGGGGAAAGCAGAGAGAAGGGGGTCGCAATCCCTGTCACGTGGGTTCGCCCTCACAATGGCCAATCAGTCGCTGAGTTGTGGCTAACACAAGTGCAACGAGATACAATTCAACGAGAAGAAGGTTTAATTTAGTTGGTCCAGTGTTTGTACAACACCGCTCGAACGGTAATGAAACCATCCGAGAGCCTTTACGGCTCACTGCATGTGCTTGAGTAGCAGCACTGAACACCCCATTCTGCGAAACTCCGGCTTTATTGGGAACTGAAGGAACTACAGTTATTTCTCGATTTAACCGGTACACTCGTTCCTTAAAAGAAAAAAAAAAACTCGCGTAATTCTAAGATCTAATTTTCCATAAGAAATTAAGGAAAATGTGGGGATTGCGTACACGGGCCAAGCCAGTTCGGAGGGTTACCGACACTCGCATTTGCTCACGTAACATTTCTGCTTAGTTTTTTGTAAGGATTATTTTATGTAATTTTCATAGGAAGAAATAAATTCCTATGTAGGACTGGCTGTAAATAGCTAATGAACTAATTCCATGGTGCATAGTCCTAAAAGAAAGCTACCCCTGTAAAAGGCCGTGGAGATCCATAGGGTTATGGGAGGTCGAGGCTCCCAAATTTTCTAGACAGCTAGCTCACAGATGGCGGTAATGTTGTCAGCCTTACACGCCGGCTGCTCTTTACCCACCAGGAAGATTCATTTTTGTTAGAGGCTGAGTCGACCCCAGGGCCACAGAGCGGCTGGAAGGATTAGGTCAATTGGAAATTTCAGTGACCTCATCGGGAATTATTTGTTTTATTCAGTGACACTGTCGTGGTCAACTGCTAGTCCCTAGTCAATGGCCAATGTCACTAAAACCTGAGACTAGCGTCAATTTGTAAGATGAAAACTAACGGATGAATTGGAAAGGATGTGGAAGGAAAGACCCTGGCCTGATCCAGGTATTACCTCTGTATTTGCCTGAAGGTTCAGATATAGACAAAACTATCCCTTTACTTAATTAAGCACCATACACTGAAGATATACGGGGAACTGCAGGGAACTGAACACCCATTCTTCGGATTCCAACCCGCAGCGTAGTCGCTATACTGATTGAATTACCTCTTCAATTAGAACAGCCGATGTCCCCACTGATATTCGAATCAGGCACCTCCCAAATAGAAGTCTAGAGTGTTACCGCTATGGTAACCCGCCCGATCAAAGTAATTCATACACTAATTGTTTCACTAGTGCCACTGTCAGTACCTCAAGACTATACAGCGTCCAATGGGAGGGTGATCAGTGCATGATTCATTTTAATATTATTCCCCTGATGACTTATTGTAGTGACGAGGGTACAGTTTTGATGACAGGGAACTCCGGGTTTTAGTCGCCAAAGGAACAGAGATTTGTCTCCTCGTCGTCCACAGCGGCTCTGGGACCAACCCAGCCTTCCTTCCAGTAGGTAAGTGGGTACCTGGCGTAAAGCTGAGGTGAATGAATGGCGCTATACTTCCATTTCCACAAACACCCTCAAGGCGATATGCTTATTTAAGTTTAGTGAATTTACAATTATCATCCATGCCTAGGTCTTCCAAACAGCATTTTTCCTTCAGGTTTTCTTACTAAAGTCGGTAAATATTTTTGTGTTACTAAATTAATGTTATTTGACGAGTAATATGATCTACAAAGCTCCTCAGCGAAACAAAACCCTTAAGTAAATGTTCTGGCCAAAGGCAACAAGGTTCAATTACCAACGGGGGTTGATATTTTTTTCTCCAACATGTCTGGACTGCATCTGGGGCCCACCAAGCTTTCTTGCCTTTAGTTACAAGAAAACTCAACTTTGCAAGTAAATACTGCAAATAAAGCAGTAAGAATCGTGATTGAAGCGTTTGTAGAAAGGCAGAGAACTATTCGCTTCGCACTCCACCAATCCTGCTTAATGGGCAACCAAGTGGCAAGTTACATGAGTCTCTGATGATTTACTGTGTTGGGTGCAGAAAGTTTATTTTATTTACAGTTCAGTGAAGAGGCTGCCAGTCTCAGGCTAAACAGCAGCAAAGGGTTGAATGATTGATGAAAATGAACTGGAAAGATGTGAAGACAAGCAGACATTACCTGCCGACCTAGCCTGAAGGGGCTGCACAAAATAAAAGTATAAGTCAGGACACTCCATGTTCTAGACAAGATTCGAACCAATTATCACTTCCAAAGTACAAGTCACATGACTCTTTCCACCTAAGTCAACTTGCTTGTCATGCAGAAAAGAAGCTGGCATGCAAAATGCCATGGCTAACCACGAAGGAACCAGACTGCTTGTCACTAACAGCAACAGTTGATATGGGGAAGGATCAACTACTGAACACATCCCACTACTTAGCAATCCTTAATCATATTCAGAACGTCCCTGTCCCGACAAGCAAATGACAAAAGCAACTCAAATTATGTGACAACCGCTTCGTTCCATACACTTGCCAATTCAGTCATTCCGCATACATGTAACATGTAATTACTGTAGTGCCTGTTGTAAATCAAACAAAATAATGTAACAATTCCCACAGATAACCCTCTCACTGATCCGCTACACATCACAAACCCTTGAGGGACACTACAAACTCAGTATTTCACTCAGTGTACCTGCTATTACCTTCAAAAGTTTTGGAAAGACGATTACCGACTTTCTGAACATTATCCATCAACCTGTTTCTGTTTAAAACTTGTCCAAGACTCACCTCCACCTCTCCTCATGTAGGCTCCTTACCTGAGGACAGAGGAAGAGCCCAGTCTCTGAAATGTTGCTACATAAAAAACAGGACAGATAAGGTCCAAAAAGTCAATAATAATAGACCATCGTCACAAATTTTGGATCTCATTTAGTGAGACAGCTTGATAGAATAATAATAATAATAATAATAAGCAAACCCTCACTAATACAGTTACACTTAATCTTGATCAAAATATGAAGAGTGCTGTTCACAGTTCAGTACATTCTTTAAAAAGACATATGGCATTTAGGAAGGCAGATGAGTCACTTGTCTGTTCAGACGCAACTTGACAGTTTCTTCAAACCTGCAACATTACATTAAAAAAAACAAGTACAACATCCGAGTCTTTCATTGATGAATAAATGTACAGTCTTTTTATAGTTTTTAAATAAAGGCTTTACAGTGATCTTATCATTTATTTTCATCAGCACTACTTATATCATTAAATTTTTCCATCTGATTTCTTTGTCTATTAGGGCTACCTTTTTGCTTCAGTAAACCGGATGACCTCTCCCGCCAATTACTTTGAATTTGGGTATACTGTAATTTTGAAAGTACTTTTCTATGGCAAAGCCCATGTCAACGCTGTAATATCAACAGAAGTATTACCATTTATTGGCCATCTTCTGGTCCTNGTGCACAGACTATACATCCAACCCCTTCCTCATCATCCCTTCATCCCTCCGAACCTAACATGTTCACCAGTGTCCTCAGCAGAATTGGTATTCCCTGGTCAGGTGGCACATAAGGAGAACATCTAACCCACATTTGGGAAACCTGTGGATCAGGATCTATAGGCTGGTTATGCTGACAACTTTCTCAAAGCTGTCTTCCTCAGTTCCTCCCGAACGCTCTTAATATATAGTAACATTTCACTGGAAACAGAAATGGCAAGGTACATTGTTAAGTAGTACTTCGCTTATTCAATAAAAGTAGTATCATATATTTCCAATGAAACGTGTTACAGTTCATATATTACAAAAGTAGTTTTCACAGTTACAAAGTGGTAATATAATTCATTTAATTATACAGTTCTCCGTTGTCTTAATTCACATTTCTTTACAATATGGAACACCAATCCTAATATCAACATTCTTCACAAACCCAAGTCATGTATTTATAACATTATATAACGTTTCTCTAACATTATGCAGGCATCCTCCAACTTAAATGATTTTACTTGGAACTGTCTTTAATTTAACTTTTGTAGTAAGGACTAAATAATAATGAAATCATTTATGTAAAATGAAAATAACCAGGATTTGTAAACGGCCAAAATGAGTGGCACTAAACGGTCTTGTATTTCTATTTAAATTGAAGGTAGTGTGAAACAAACAGAGTAATAAAAAATTTTGAGTCACGCAACCTGTCTCGGTAACACGACTGAGTTAAGTCGGGGGATACCTGTATTGTGCTATAAAATAGTGCAAATTGTGCAATGTTCTTATTAATGTTATCGTTTTTGTTTCTTTCTGGAGGAATTATAATTTCCCTCGCTCATCCTTTTCCTATGTTTTGTTTCATCACCATGTTTACTTTCATCTTTGCTATGCTTAATTCCATTTACAGATTTCTCATCTCTTTTCCTCATTTCTTCTTTCTGTGACTTATCCCTTTCTACTTTCATTCTGTCTGTCTTTCTGCGGTCCCTGTCAGATGATCCGTCACTGCTTGCATGATGCTGCCACTTCCCTGATGAACCAGTTGCACTGTTAGGGCCTGCAAAATCAATGCGTCTATCAAGAAGCTTCTCCAGAGCCTTATCAGACAACTCTGACTCACTGCTTGAGCTTGATGGTTCCTTCTTGATTGCTATATTTTTATAATGTCGGTCTCTTCTCTTATCTTTATCTTTCTTTGGTCTCTTCTTTTCCTTGTGTGATTTCCTTCCTTTCTTGAGTTCTCCACTATCTGAACTCGTGTCATCACTCTCACTGCCCCTCTGTTTCCGTTTAGACTTCTTTTTCTTCATCTTTCTCTTATCAGATTTGCTGCTTTTATCTTTCTTCTCCAATTTTTCAAGTTTCCTGAAAAATAATTAAAAACGCCATTTTAGAAATATAATTCAGCACAACATTCACAAAATGTCTGATATGAAATTTATGTAGTACATGGATTTGGTTTTGTGACTTTCGCTCCCAGCAAGCCTCCTACTGGCTTACCTCCCAGACCAGCCACATTTAGCGGTACTGTCACAGTAAGGAAATAAGCAGCAATGATTTACATATCCCCAAGGAATCTCAAAAGGTAGCTACATGCACCATCTAGCAACAGAGGAAATAACTATGTCTTCAGGGTGAGTTCTGAAAGAGAAATAGTTTGTTTTGTCACAAGCCTGTTAATATCTGATCTTTCTGTAAAAAGAACACTGGTAAATAACCAACCTCAGACAGGGGAGCAAAAGAATTAATATAGGGACGTAAAATGCTTCGACAGAGCACTACATGTTTCAAAACATAAACTGAAAGAACATAAATACGTAAGTTATCATCTGCAATAATCTGTATATTGTAATCATTTCTGATCAAAGGAACGTTCAATAAATTTACCTTAGCAGCCTCTGTTTCTGCTTCACGGATAAGGACTTCAGGAACTCCACCTCTGACTGCTTTGTCTTCTCATCCTCGTCTTCACTTGGTATAAGGTCCTTTAAGGAAACAATACACAAACTTGTTAATTGTTATTTCATATATGCACCAAATTACCAACTTCTCCAACAAAATCATAAGTTGTATACTTCAAGGCTATTTAATGAGCACGGATGACATCTTGGGCCCGGTACGAATGCACACAATGAACATTACTGCTTATGCCGCTGGCACACTAACCAAACCAACTCCACAAAATTCAAAGTGACTCTGCCTCATGCTCTGTAAATGTACGAGTATGAATTAAAATTCAAAGGGAAGAGACATATGGAATGACCTAGAACAAGAAGGTTCAGCCAGGTATAGGAAGAGAGCAAGAGAGGAAAGAAAAACATGAGGGATTGTGGGAAGAAAAATGAGAATGGGGTCTTCATGTTGACTAAATGATTCAGAATCAATGCCAGGAGACACACGCACTTTACAGTGCTCAAATTCTGAGTTCCTCATGGTACCCAACTTTCAGATCTGAGTGCCTGCATTTCTCAACTGTCATACAGAGGTTTCACTATAAACAAGCCCTTAAAATGAGCATTAAATATCATAATAAAATTTGTGTTTAAAATTCATGAGCACTGTATAAATGTAGCAAAAAATTAAAACACACTCTGTGGCTTCAGTCCGCAAGCGAAATAAATACATATTTACAATACAAACTGTAAATGTTGCAATTTTTTTAAACACAGTAATCCCACTGCACCTGCATGGTGCTTGTGTTTACATGGATTTTCTTCTGTACACCAATTCTCCAACCACAGCTTACAAATCTGTGTGCACACAGTCTTTCACACAAACAAATTTCCAAATCAGCCATAACTCAGTGCTTCTACACTGCGATGTGTATTCTTCCCACACCCAATCTTGTCAGCAGTTCTCGTAATGACAAATTTCTTCCATTTATCGATCACAGTCACACTACTCTATATTTAGTTTGTGTAATTGTGATCATGAATTAACTGTTTTCCATTTAAGTTTGGGTGTAACTAGTCACGGAAAACCTAACCCCTCATTTCCTACAGTACAGAATCTATTATTCACCAACCACTGATTCTCCGACTGAAGGGGTTTCAAGACTGTAACCTCAGCAGTCAGAAAGGAAGTACTATAATGTCAAAGCCCATTACAAAAGATTGTAAAACTGTGGGGGGGGGGCTGTAAGAAAATACTTGTACTGTTGGCCTAAAATACCTTTGAGCATACAACTAGCCCTGAACATGCAAACCTTACAGAAGAGAATTCCCGTGTGTTCGGTGAGACCTAGAGTATGACAAACAGAACACAATGCACACTATTAAGATTGAAAATAGAACACAATAAATTTCTAGTGAAGACATAATGACCTACACCATTAGCTGATGATGATGCAAACTAAAAGGTGTTTGGAACACAGTACATGTTCTGACACATGAGAATGTAAGCACAGGAAATATGAAACAGAATGCGCATCTAAACAACTCACCTGACTCTGAGAAAACCTCATGTGCTGCTGAATACTAAGGGCACTTCTCTTCATGGCCAAACCATCTTCTCTCATTTGCTGGACAAGAATTAATGGATCCAGTGAGGGGCCCATCTGATCAGAGCTTGATGCCTGATTATACATTGGACATTCCTTGTCTGAAAAACAGAAGTTATAAAACTTAGCTCCATGTTGGTCCCAATGGTAGTCACCTTTTATATTCCACATCAGGACAAACATAACCTACAATTTTAACAACATACAGAAAAATGAATTAAAAAGCAATACAGTGCTGCAATTGAACCCGGACAGCCCAGGTGGTACAGCCACTGGCTATGGACTGGACGACAGGGGTCGGAGTTCGAGTCATGGTAGGGTCAAGAATTTTCTCTTCTCTACATCATCCAAACCAACTCTGGGCCCACCCAGCCTCCTATCCAGTGGATACTGGGGGCTGTTTCCCAGGGGGTGGAGGGTGGTGGTGTTAAGCAGCCGGGGTGTGAAGCTAACCACTCACCTCCAGCTAGTACCAAGGTCAAGAAAATGTGGATCTATACAGCCACTCTACCATATGCTTTCATGGCATAGTGTTTAATTAGTTAAGCAAAGGGCCAACTTTACCTTAAAGTGCTGCAACTATGTAAATAATCTACCTGACAACAACCATATCAGGTTGAAACATGTCATAGAAGAAATTTAAGTTTTAGAGCAGTGGTTATGAAGCATTCTATCGTCTGGGATGTAACACCATGTAGTCCACTGAAAGTCAACCGATGTATCAGAGAAACATGTTGCCTCCATTTTCAGGGTCAAAGAATAAGCCAAGCAAGAAAGCAACATGAAGTAGGCAGCAAGCAGCTCTTTACTTTCAACAGGATACACAGCATTATATCCCTGGAGACAGAGCTCTTCAAGTTGTTGATGGAACAGCTATAATGCACGGCACTGCAGCACACCACCGGTCTACGAGCACAACAAGAAGTTGCACCTCCAATACTGCAGATGCAAATTGAAGGATTTACAGGAATGTTCATGCAGAATTTTCAGTCAGTTTTCAGTCTGACAGCTGTAACTATGCACCACAGGATCAAGAAGTACAATGACACATTACTACAAACAGTACCAGAAATTATATACAAATTATTATTAATTTGGTTAGTGGGTGGTGGAGTCCAGCTGGGTCCACTAGACACGGTGGCCACTGATTTGCCTACTGTACCTGCCGTGGGGTGATTATGATAATGGAGAATATCGTGGAATGAAGATTGGCAGGGGGAAACCGAAGTACTTGGAGAAAACCCGCCCCAACACCACTTTGTCCACTACAAATCCCACTTGACTAGACCCGGGATCGAACCCGTACAAAATATTATTCTTGCAGGTACACAATTATGAACATAGCAACGGTATGAAATGGAGTCGTTACTTCTGATGAATATAACGTAGGCAGTATCTGTATGAATTCCTTTGGTGGGTACATAAAATTCAAGCCCTCTGAAACATTCAGAAAGCCATGACAAAATTCCATGTGGAGCTGCAATCTTCTGAGAACCATGTGCAAACAAGCATAGGCCATCCAGTGCCACAAACCTCACAGGGAAAGGACACTTGATATTGGAAGAGCAACAGCAGGCTGAACTGATTGTCAGTCCATAGCAAGCAACCAACCTGGACGCTGCAATGGTAGCAGAAAGAGCAACACAAAGGCTTCCATTTTGAGAGGGAGAAGTGTGTACTACGGTTAGACAGTTAAGAAATGTAAAATTTACCATACATCCTGGGAAGCATTTAGAAATACACAAAATCAGAGAAAAAAATTACAATACAAAACAGCATTGTGCTCAAAGAGACCGAACTAAAAATGACATTAGCGTCCATTTGTCTATATCCGTCTAAATTGCAACACTTGTTTTACTCTTCAATATATTCTTTAACACTTAACACTACATGTTTCGGCCTCAAAGGACCATCTTCAGGTGTTTTATTACAGATATTTAACAAGGTCTTCATTGAAATACAGAATTAAAAATGACATACAGGAATCGAACTGCGGATACAGAAAGATAAGACAGGAGAGGCTGTAAGATGGATTCAAACCTGAATCACTCAACATGCGAACGACACACAAGAGGCAAAACAGCTGAACTGGCCTGGAATGAGGATAAAGAAAATAGCAATGGATTTGAGGTTCTTACAGCAGTGACTAAGAAGAATACCATCGCCTGGGATGTAACCTCGAGCAGTCTGGTAGAAGTCTACCAATGTTTCATTGGAATGTGCTGCCTCCATCTTCAGGGTCAAAGAATGAGCCAAGCAGAGGCTGAAGAAAGAGTCTGCATGCCCAGTACTTAGGTAAAAGTAAAGCTGTTCCAGTGCTTAATTAATTAAGCACCACGCCACGAAGACATATGGGGGAATGGAAGTAACAGATCCACCAATCTTGACCTTGGCACTATGTGGCCATGAGAGGTCAGCTTCATGCCTTGGCCATAAATAATTCGTCGTCATCACCACTATGTTGTGTGAACATAACTGCTCACAGATATAACATAACACAATGCTGCAACACAATATACCATACCTGTATTTATGTGACCCCATTTATGACACTTGATACACCTGACATTGCGAACCTGGATGCCAAATGGTTGGTCCCTGATTTCTGAATCACCTTTGCAGTAGCTGTAAAATAGAGACAGTTTAAATTTAACATCAACTCAATAACGTTCCACTTTTTATACGACAAAGAAATTGCATACACAGAAATCTGACAGAGCCGTTCTAGTAAATGTTAAACATATCACACACACAGTAAGAATAATTTTTGTTTAGAAAATGTACATACTCTTCTCTTGGTGCATTAAATTTTCGCTGCCACTCAAATTTATATTCCGGTTCATCATCTTCTCTCTCTCGTTCTTTCTTTGTACCAGGTGGAGGTTCATACATGAAATTTACACTCAGTTTGTCCTTGCTTTCCTTACTCAGTATCGCCCTAGAAAAAGAAATCACATGTTTAGTCCATTGCCCTAATTCTAAAATAAAAATATTTAAATGAAACCAACATAAGAAAATATAAATTTACAGACAATTCACTTTCATATTAAAATTACAACTAATAATCCAAATAAAAAAAAACATTGTAACAGGCTATGAAGGGCTGTGAGACATCGAGGCTTCCACATTTTCTCTAGACAATCAGTTCACAGATGGTGGTGAGCTTGTCAGCCTTATGCACCCCCCACCCTTTACCCGCAGGAAGATTCCTGGTATAGGTGGGATGGTCAATTTTGGCCGGTGGATCTCTGATGCGTAGTGATCTGACGTAAGTTGGTGAGCCTAAGACTGGTGAGCATGTGCAGCGACACTATGTTGCCTCAGTAAGAAGGTAGACGTTGAGCTCATAGGTTCGCTGTTATTAGTAGATACTGTATGCTTTTCGCACATGCCAGTTGCCAGTTGCCAGGGCCAGCCTACAAATGTTCTCTCTGCAGATGAAGCAAGTTTGTAGCATAGACTCGCTCTCATGCGCTGACAGTGAAGGACACCTGCCAAAAAGTATCGGCAAGCTTATACTCACTTCTGTTAGAGGCTGAGTCGGCTCTAGGACCATATTGCAGCTGGAAGGATTAGGTAAACTGAAAAGTATCAACCTCATTGGGACTCAAACCTGCAACCTTTCGGCTTGCAGCTTTCACAAACTACACTACCGTGTGCCCGCATAAAAAAAAAAGGTAAAACTCTCCCTGTAACAGGCCATGGAGGTCCACAGGGTTGTGAGACATCGAGGCTCCCACATTTTCTAGAAAATTGGCTCACAGATGGAGGTGAGTTTGTCAGCCTTACGTGCCGGCCACCCTTTACCTCCCAGGAAGATTCCTGGTACTCATTTCTATTAGAGGCTGAGTTGACCCCAGGGCCATAGTGTGGTTGGAAGCAATGACTTCAATGGGAATGGAGCCTGCAACCTCCTGGCTTGTAGCATAGTGCCTCAAACAACTACGCTACCCCGTACATAACCTGAGAATAATACTTTCCCTTGTTATCTAATTATTCATCTAATTACTTTTCTCCTAGACAGGTGTTGCTTGTTCCCACATTCCTGTTGTCGACATTTGTTGTTGCACAAATTTTAAAATAGAATTTGACAGAGGAAATCTTTCCAATCTGGGGATTTGCAGCATTACAAATACTATAATGGATCAGGTCTTCTGACATCCTACAGCATACTTCCAGTAATCCAGTATCAAAGCATTTTGGACTTCTCATCCAACCAGGAAAGACTTGAAAGGAAATTTACCATTTGTAGAAAGTTACTTCAGAAGCAAAGCTGAATTGTTTGTGTTCACGCTCCACAAGGTAGTTCTTCCATCAACCACTAGTGGCACCGGCCATTGACCTCCGTCATGCAGGTGCCATTACAGTACAGGTTAGATGAATTCAAGATGCTTTATAGAACATGTATCTAAAATCTGCTACCTGCTGATCCGTACGCTACCGAGGAATGTTATGATGCAAGAACTGAAGCTCAAACATGTTTTTCTGATTGCGCAGCTGATTTCTGAAAGTGTTCCTCTTGTATTTGGCAAACTTATGTAATCATTCAACCCCATTCCTCACAAATGCCAGAAAACGAGGAGTTTACTGTATATGGTGGCACATCCTGCTGATCATAGTCTTGAAACGCACCTCCATAAGAATATAAAATAATCTCATGTTTCAGTAGCAGCAAGGTCACCACGTGTACCTACAGCTAAGAGAAGGCTGTATTTACAGGAACTACACCTAACATGAAACAATGCAAGCTATTTTACCATCCTGACTAGTTAGCACACGTTCACTCCTAAATCCAAATTCAGTAACTGATTAGGGAAGCTAAACTGGTTTATGCTGTGTCTCCATAGCGTCCAGATTGAGCCTGAGGTCCACCCAGCCTCCTATCCAATGGGTACCAGGGGCTCTTTACCTGGGCAGTAAAGCAGCTAGAACATGATGCTGACCACTCACCTTCATCTAGTGCCGAGGTCAAGAAAGGTTGGGCTATACCTCCACTCCCCCTATGTATTCATGGCATTGTGCTTAACTCATTAAGCACAGGGACAACTTTACTTCTTATATTGAAAAGCTGATCCCACTGGTGTTCCACGAGCCCTCAGTATTTTGTTCATGTTCCACAGTAAATCTGTATAGTACAATTTGATAAGAAACCTTCTATTTAATTTTAACAATACACCCCACATTTCTAAAACCATCTACAAATACCATCCAATATGCTTGTATATTCAATGAAAAAAACATTTTTTGCCTAATTTCCTTATTTTTAAAAAATAAAAGGAGCCTATGAGATCACCTTCCTAAGTGTCTGTGTCCCCCCCCTCCCCCAAATACCTAAAAGAAGGAACAGTGAAGCCAGGAGGAACAGCCACTCCTAGGCTAAAGCTCAAGACATTCTCACACAAACAAACACACATGCAACAACAGAAGAACTGTCTGATGCAGCATTCTCTATGTGGCGAGTCATTCTAAATACTCAATATGCAGTGAAAAGAAATTAGTTCTTCCCAGAACTTTCTTTTTGATAAATGTCAAATACAATCTCATTAAGAAATTTGAAAGGAGTATCTGTACCATGACGAAATACTGAGGGCAATGCACAATCACTATTAATTTTGGATCTCTTCAATTTCACGATTTTCTTGGCATAAACATTTCCCCAGAAAATAAGCCAAACTGATGATGCCTTATCCAATACGTGTCATGGCAAATTCGGACACAATCACCACTACTCTACTTACCACAATTCGTATAATTATAATCTATAAAAATGTGAATGTATAAAACCTTCATAAATAACATACTTGTTTGTGTACAAATCTTGCTCCTTTTCATACTGAACTCGTAATTCTTCTTGCTTCTTTTTATACGACTCTGCCTTCTGCTCTGCCATCCATACCTGTAAACAACGTTATGCAATAATCAGATTTTCAAATAATTTGATAAAATCTTAAGTACAAATAGTTAATTCCGCGGCTCTGCACGTTAAATTTTCATGAAACAACAAAATATTAACACTGTAATACTTACCCTTTTCAGATTGTCTCTAGACGCAGGATGAAAGAACTTTTTGCACATATAATTATTAAACCCCTTTCCCATTCTGATTGTCTACTTGATTTTCACGACAAAGCTTATTATATAAAAGTCTTTAAAGCTGTATAAAGAAACGTTTCAACGCAAACCTTTACACTGTCAATCACTCTAAACACTAACTGTCGCCATCTTGAACATACCACAAATATCGATAAATTTATCGCAAGCATGGTCGATATCGATCTTAAACGAATTACATCGATATAAGAAATAGTGGGAGAATTTAAGAACACATTGCGGGTTTCGGGTTTCTCGCGGTAGTATCTAGGAAGAATACTGTAACGTGGATGGCCAGGGTGTTGCTAGGTAACGGACCGGTAAATGTACGCGATACACGCTGGCAACAGTGGACCAGCGAGGTTATGCAATCTGCTTCTAGGCAACGGTTCAGTAAATAGACTTCCTGGCAGGCGCAATGACGTCACCAACAGTGCTAGCTATCACGTGACTGGCTTTCTATGGAGTCGTGCCGAGACTGTTGCTATGCAATCGTTCTGTAAACACGTTCCAACAATATATGCTGTATTCTGCGCGTGGTCGGTGCGGAGGCTATATAACAAGAATAACGCCAGCAGTTCACTTAAAACCCGTGTGGAGGCGGGGTCGAATACCTCCACCTTGATCCTGGGAGTCGTAGGAGGCGACGAAAAGGGAAGTCTCAAATCTGAGACAATAAAATATGGTCGCGAGTCCCAAGGGACTCGGACCCCAGAAAGACTGCGCTGGCAAGGACCAGCAGCGTATACAAAAGACAGACGCGCCCTCTCGTCAGAGAGGGCGCCCCACAAAAACAAGACCGTAACTATGAAACAATAATAAATATCTGGTCAAGAGCTTCAGATGGGACTCGACTCCACGACTTTGACTGACTGACTGACAGTCAGTCGCAATGTGACTTTGACTTGAGTTCAGTTTATGACTAACCAAGGCAGAACCCCTGTGGAGGCGGGGTCGAATACCTCCACCGTGACACTGCGAGTCGTAGGAGGCGACGAAAAGGGAAATCTCAAATCTGAGACAGTAAAATATGGTCGTAAGTACCATGCGACTAGGACCCCAGAAAGACTGCGCTGGCAAGGACCAGCAGCATATACAAAAGACAGACCCGTCCTCTCATCAGAGAGGGCGCCCCACAAAACAAGACCGTAACTGTCAAACAGCAATGGGGCTGGACATGAAGACTGGGGCTGGACATGAAGACTTACTGACTGACTGACCGTCAGTCGCAGTGTGACTTTGACTTTGACAGATCAGTTTAGTATGTGCGCTTCAGAGTATCTGAGAGTGTTTGAGTTAACAGTAAGAGTGACAGCAACGGGAAGTGCGTAAAGACTTGTGAAGATTTTAAGTGCGAGCTGAAGACTGCGATTACGTGTAACACGGGGAGTGTGTGATCCAGTGAGACTGTTACCCGGAGAGGACTGGTGTGTGTGTGCAACAGTGAATTATGAGATGCATGTACAATCAGTGATAGCGCTGTAATTTGAGTGTAATTAGAAGCATGTGTAGCCAAGCTGCTAATAAATCCAATCATCCGAACTAGAATCCGTCATTTCGTCACGCGTACCCTCCTACAAATGACAATAGTGTGACATGTTGACCCCTACCTCCCCAGCGGTACGTGGCGGTAACGTAACGCTCGCGTTACTACGGTAATAGGCGAGTTCCCGCCCCGCCACTCCCCTCCGCGGTGACGTCACCGAGGGATATCGCGGTCGCTAGGCAACGCGAGTCAACAGCGGCGACGTTACGGTAGTAACAGCGGTTACCTCCGCTAGCGTTACATAGCAACACAGCGCTAGGCAACAAGGGTGCCTATTACGTGGCCGTATTGTCCGATCGAGGTTACATAAGGAGCAGCGAAGGCTATTCGAGTCAGTTGAAACATAGCAGCCTGCGAGTGTGCGAACTAAGAAGTCAGCGAGCGGAAGACTTATTGTGTGCTTTCCAGACATAGTGATTGCTGTAGTACAGCTATACTCGGAGTGTGTATTTCAGGGAGACTTGTATAGCTCCCGCGTTATCAGTACGTGAAGACAAGTGAAGATTGTGTTAAGAGATTTTGTTGTTGGGTTTGTAAAGTGTGGAAACCCGTAATATTGTGATCATTAATTATAGCCGTTATTTGTAGATTGTTAAATAAACCCAATTAACCATCTCTACGGCGTATTCGGTAACGAAACACGTTACAATACTTACCATCTCCAGGGATATGACATCATGTAACTTTACCAGACTACACAGCGTCAAATCTCAGAAGACAGAATTCTTACTATGTATTAGCTTACATTTTTGCTATAGAAAGATGAACAGGTTTATGTGATCACCAAGCTATGTGTGTCTGTTTATCCCCATTTCTAATCTTGAACTTCTTGACTGATCCTTACGAACCTCACTATGAACGTTATGCTACTAAAGCCAACCCATTTCCTTACAGCCGATAATTATGGATTTATATGGATAGCAGGAACCCAAATAACATTACGACCCCTCTACATCTACAGTGGGGGCCCGCGTTAGCGTAGTTGATCTAAGCATTTCGTTAGAAGCCCGAAGGTTGAGAGTTCGATTCACAATGAGTTCATTAGGGTTTTCATTTGATTTAATCTTCCTGCCGCACTCTAGCCCTTGGGGTCGACTCAGCCTCTAATAGAAATGAGTACCAAGAATATTCCTGGCGGTAAAAGGCGGCCGGCGCGTAAGGCTGACAATCTCACCGCCGTTTATGAACCGATTGTCTAGAAAATGTGATAGCCTCGACCTCTCACAACCCTATGGACCTCCACGGTTTGTTACAGGGATAGCTTTGCCTGTACCTTTTTACCTACAGCAGCAGTGAGCTATAAAATGTTCCACTACAGTCAAGAAAACATTCGCTGTAGGAACGTTTACCGAAGCCATCTACAATTATTAAAAGCTACTGACTTACAGACGTGACAAATCTCTCAGCAGATACAAGTTTAATTTAAATAATTCTTCAGAACTCGGCGTCCAATTCAGAGAAAGTCGCGAAACTATTCGTTACGGTGATATGTTGGGATTTTGGACTTTATCCATCGTCCTGGTTTTTAAGATAACAAATAAAAACACGACGTTTCGGAAACTGGATCTGTTTCCGTCCTCAGGTGAAGGAAAACACCTATTCAGTTGGGTCCCTTAGAAAGAGCTAGCCTCAATCANTCCAAAATCCCAACATATCAGTGTGTTATACACCATCGTCAGAATCCTATAGTAACTACTTATTCGTTACGGGTTTTCGAGGTTGTTTCGATGAGATATTTTGTGGAGGTTTTCGGTTCGATTATAATGACTAATGAACTACTGAAACTTGGCATGTGAAATCTGGTGAGGAGACAGAGTTTAAACTCACTTATATTTAGATGTATAAATTTATGTGTTAAAAGCCAACAATTGCCAACACAACGACAGTGCGAATCTTTGAAGCTATAATTGTAATTATCACACGCATAATTTGTAGGCCCTGCTTAAATAATCTCGTCACTTAAACAACACATGACATATGTAGGTTTCCAGGATTAGAAACCGTTGCAACATAAAAGTAGGCCTTCTAAGTTGCATTCTGTTACATGTTTGTTTGCCGTTCATTTATCGACACTTCCAAAAGTTCAGAATGATGAAATGATTACTTAATAATGATTTTAGAAAAGTGTGGAGGAAGGCGGTCATGGACCAATTTGAGGCACTATACTGACATTTGCATGTAGATCCTGGGGAAAGCCATTAAAATCCTCAATCACGACAACGGTTTCAGGGCAGAGATTTGAATATGGAACTTGTCCAATTCGAAGCAGCCATGGAAATTCCTCGACAGCAACATTTCGCCGGAAATGTCGGTATTTCTTAGATAAAATAATAAAGATATCTTCTATTGTGAAAAAATTCTCAATTTTGAAACTTTAATATATGAACTAGGAACTGAACGCGTAACATAACAATTCTTGCGCCCAAAACCTCAATATTTAGGCCTACGGAAAATATATACTGAGCATAAAATCTATGTTTCAGTTTTCTCTGTAATTTTATTAGGTATATTTCTTGCTGTGATATATTTAACAAGTTAAGTTAAAAGTTATGCAGGAAACGCATAAAGAGCTTTGTAGACAGCGCCAGTAATAACTGTCTCGACTTCAACCAACAGAATGGGCTGTGTCGACATAGTTTAATAAAACTTCCCAGTATCAACTTTTCATGAAAATCTGGCTGCAGGTCTCGATTTGTATCATGCGTACAGACAGACAGACAGACAGACGGACGGAATGGTTTCAATATGCTCTCCGTAAGGATAAAACTAAAACTAGACTAAAACTGAAAAAAATTGCATGAATTTGTAACTTAATGGGTAATCAATTGAAATATGATCGTTCAATGTTTATCATCACTGCTACACTTACGCCATGAAACAGAGGACGTAATGTTACACAGAGCTATGAAGCAATTACTGGCTGTCATTGCTTGTAACAGGACTGCCAACAATTTTACCTTTGGCTTCTAAATTTCTCATTCATCTTCACGGTCTAACTGAAACATTATAATATGTTCCCCTATATTTCCCATAATCTCCAGTCGGGCGTCACGACGGCGCCGACGCTAACTCTAACTGAATACTGACGTAGACGCCTAGGCGGATCGAACTCAAAGATCGTAGATGGTAAAGAGAACACAATTTCCACTTACAGTAAAATCGCTCTGGTGGTTACTGCAGTATCGGTGCTTCTGCCCTAACAGTAAAGGGTCTTTGGTGACCTCGAATCTGGCTTTAGGCCAGCAGCTATTTGACAGGTCAATGTGACAACAGATCAGTGGATTTTGTGCTTGTTTTATTCAGTGTTGGGTAGACAAGGCTGTATCCCTTCCTCAGGGGATGCAGAAGATGTGTGTGCTCTGCTTTATAATATCGTGGACTATTTGTAAGTGCCACAGGGAAATTGAAATAGTATTATGTACGTGTCTCTAGCCGGAGCTGCAGGTGCTGGGCTACTGGCTGTCTTCATGCTTGCAGGAAAGGTACTAAGTCGCAAGTCTTCCTACCGCATTTGAAGAAAGTAATGGCAGTAGTTAATAAATATATTATGCTTCTTGCTCGATTGCATGAATATTGATAGTATAATTCATTAACCATTAAATGCTACAACCAAAACATGTTAACATAAACAGCTCCACATGTTTCGGGCTCCGAAACTCATTATCAGGGCTATCACACAGTTCGTATACCAGAAGTTTTACATGATCTCAATCTTTCATGGTGACTGTATGTCTTCTCGGGAGATCAGCTGTGAGGATACGGGGTTAGCGTCTCCATCTCCAACGTCAGAGCTTGACTGGCTTCATTGAGGATATTGTCATACCTTGAACTATGGGCATTGGCCTGGGGAAGGGGGACCATACATCTGCCCCCTTAAATAAATAAGAAAAAAGGTAAAAGAAGAAAAAATGCCAAATATTAGTGTAAAATATTAAAATTATTTTAAAAAATATATTTACATTGTTAACACACTTGGGCGGTCGGTAACAATACTATTAAGGACTTAAGAGAAAGTCTGCAGGCAAATTCTCCGGCTGTCCTCACCCTTCCCACTGGAGAAAGAATCCTGTGCGTACTCATGTCTCGGATAGATAACCTTAAGGACGAGAATTCCTGTGGTGAACGAGATTCCTGTACAACGATTCCTGTTCCGCCATATGTCTAATGTCTAATGATGACGTACGCTCAAAGATATTCTAGACAAAGTATGTTATATTCCGTATATAAGGTCTTGGTGGATATCCTGGAACTATTCTGTACTTGTGTTGGGCGTGTTTACGTCATGTTCTGTGTTTAATATTCTTCCAGTAACAGGGAGACTGGAAACAATCAGGATCTCTACAAAACTTCACCCATAATGCACCAATTCTCTTCAGTTCTTTCTAATATTCCTTGTTGTAAGGTAAAGGTATTTATATCGTTTAGTTTTATTTGCATTGCTAGCTTTTCGAAGAAAAATATTTTATATTTCTTTCGAATTTTCCAGTGCTTAATTTTTAATGTTATGGTTTCACTTTCCGTTAAAACTTATTTTAGCATTGAAAACAATAGGGAAAAAACGTACAATCCTGTATATTATTTTTACAAAAAACTATCTCAATTTTGTTCTATACGTATATTTTAATACCTAATATTCCATTTCCTCCGAAATATTAAAAAATTGGGCATTCATAAACTTGAAAATAAAATGTCAAACACCAGGCACAGGACTGTTAGCGCTGTTGTTATCTATGCACAGGACAGATTTAATTCAAAGTGGCTAATGTTTACTACGAAGAAGATGACACGAAGCAGATAATCTCAAGCTGCGGAGCCGATAATCCTCAGGTATCCACTTCCTCTTGTCAGTAATGCAGAACCCAGAGAGAAATTAATTTGCAGCACTTCCGCATGGAATTTGAGAAACGTTTTCGTAATATGATAGTAAACACTAACACGTTCCATTCATTCAATAAAATGATTCCCACAGATCAACTCGAAGTCCTGTGGTGTGGAGACATAAATGTCCCATGGACACTAGGCGACTGTACGCACCAGATTGTGTGTTGTTTCAGTCTGTGTTCATTTACACGTTTCTGTGTTTGGATGGAGCAGGGATAAAAAGTCGGTATAGCGATGGAATACAGACTGGACGATCAGGGTTCGATTCCAACCTGGGGTAACAGGTTTTTTTTTCTCTATTCTACAGCGCCCAGACAGAACTGGGGCCCACCTGACCTCCTATCTAATGGGTACCGGGGCTTAAAGCTGACCACTCATCTCCATCTAGTACCGAAGTCAAGAACGATGGAGCTGTACCTCCACTCACGTCTTTATGGCGGGTTGATTACCTAATTAAGCACAGGGATAACTTTACTTTCTGTAGTTACTATAGGATTCGGACGATGGTGTATAACACATAGAGATACTGGGTGATTGGTCCAGTGATTGAGCCTAGCTCTTTCTAAGTGAACCAACAGAACAGGTGTTTTCCCTCACCTGAGGACGGAAACAGATCCAGTTTCCGAAACGTCGTGTTTTTCTTAGTTATCTTAAAACCAGGACGATGGATAAAGTCCGAAAACCCAATATCTCTATTTACTTTCTGTGTTCAGGCATCTCGCAGGTATTGTTTAAGAGAAGAATACAATGAAAACACATTTTCAGTCGAAACAAGTTCCAAATTCTTTGCCTCCATTCTCACTTACGACAAAGTGCAAGTTTCATGAACTTCAATATTATACTTTAGTGCTAACGGAACAATTCCTGTGAATCTTGTAGGTATGTTTATAATTTGGCTCCATGACACATTTCACATGACTGGCTCCAGCAGTTCATTAGATATTGATATCAGTCGAACAGTAAATATAGATCTAGCGTGGGAGACTCTTTTTTCCTATCGTTCCACAGTAAAAATTGCTTTACGATATTGAAAGATGGATTTGAGGCGATATATTCTTCCGAAACGTCGAGCTGTCTCGGAACTATAAGGCATAACAACCCAGATGGCCTTAACTCTCATAGTTCAAAGATTTTCAGCTGCAGACGCTTTCAGATTGCGTATGAAATGACGTTACTCTCCTTGCCAACCGATTCGAACTGTTGCCTTCTTCAGTTTATTGACGAACGTGGCTTAACAATTCATACCCGTGGCCTCATCCAATGAAATTAAAACACATCCCATCATTAAAACACATTCATCAAACGCGAAGGATAGAGACAAAAACTTCCTCAGAAAGGCCTGTAACATTTTACCAGTTTACACGGTGCCATACGGGTATACCAGAAGATAGTACTTTTCAACAAACAAATGGATCAATATTACAAGGATGTATCGAATTAATTGGCTCAAATAATAATATTTCCGACTTTAATCCTGGAGATGTTAGGTTCGAATTTCGGCTGGGCCACCGATCATGCTGAGTAAGGTTTTGAGCAGTTTTTCTAAGTCCTTTCAGGCAAATATCAGGATAGTAATTTAAATTGGACAAAGAAGGCTTCTTTCCACATCTCTTCCAGTTCCTTGTTCAGTTCATCCTATCACTGGACGCTATGTAGACTCAGCTACTGACAGTATCGTTAAATAAGACACATATAAATAAACATAATTAAAATACAAGAAGGCAGATACATGGATATGGCGACTGCAATCAGCTGGTTTCTGTCTGCAAAACACTTCAGAGAAGCTCAAACGGTAACCGAAACTTATCACAGACAAGAGGACGAGCGAGATTCAAATTTGCACGCAGCCAGTACAGCTTGCAGTATGCTGAAACTGTGTCACCTTCGTGTACGGTCCTTCACCCAGTTTCCGACTGGGGGTATATTCGCGGCCTCTGACGCACTTGGCCTTAGCTTCCCGGCCGCCATATCTGGCACGCGACCTGATGGGATCCCCTGCAACAATGGCAGCAATTCAATAACGTCAAACGATTACGATCAATTAAAGAAAAGAACATCGAGCTATTCAAAAAGGTTTTCGTGATGGTAAAGTATACTTACGGCTGTGCTTGGGAGGTGCTTGTTTCGAATCTTATCCCGTAAACCGACTAAACCCAACGAGGTTTTTCAGCGGAAAATATGGGCTAGGATTAAACTAGGACTGTTTCCTTATAAATCCTTTCCAATTCGTCAGTCACCCTACAATTCTAAGGCATACAGTCGAGATATCGGAAGCGGCGTAAAACAATGCAAAGAAATATGAACACAGAAACGACAAGACTAATGTTCATTTAACGGAAAGTAAAAAATCAGAGGTATATAAAATATACCGTCCTCGGCGGCCGCTTGGTTCACCTGTGCTGTCGTCTTGGTCCTGACTGGAACTTTCCCTTTTAACATGAAGTTTCTGATTTCTGAGAATTCCTTCTTTTTCTCTAACTCCACACGACACATCTGGTCCCACCACACAATTTAATTTCGATCCCAAAATACACCGGAAAACATAATCGCTTCGTGAGTAATCACAATGGATAATGAATTCAACAATGCATTGCTCTCAAGCTGCATGCTTGCCGCTGCTCTGTGACGCCATCACAGTTCACATTACTTACGAGACTATCTTCTGGAATAAAACGCCACGCAGTCGGGTGAAAATCAATCGACGTTTCGGAACAATATATCGCCTAATGTTCAGGGTCGAAGAAAATGGCAAGCAGAACTTTGTTTGCTTCATGATGATTCCTTGCTAAATTCATTCTTCAACCTTGTTGATGGAGGAGATATGTTCCTCCATAATAAAATTTGACTTTTATCAGTCTACACGGCGTAATATCACGGACTATGTAACTCTTCAGAGCCACTGCTGTAGGGACTGCAAATCAACTTTATGAGACTACTTTAAACATGGGATATTAGCATAGCTTGAACAGGTCAAATATAACATGAGAAGTTGGTCACCCCTAATTGTGATGTCATAATAGGCCACATTTTTACAAAAACAGCATGATCATATTAATTTGCACACAGTGAAACCATTTTTTTTTCACATAACTTCAGCCCTTTTAGTTACAGTTTCCACCTATACACCACACTAACATGTATGTAAGATGTCTACAGTCTGAAAAAGGCTTGCTTCAGAATTCATGACTCTGACATGATCTGTTCTCTTCTTTGTGACATGTGACTTGACTTCTCAATGGAACTGACTATAGTGTTCCTTTTCTTTCACAGGCAACATCAAAATATTGCGATGGTGGACACTAGTAAGTACCGTCCAAAAAAGTGCTCAAAGTTACTTTACTTACTTACTCACTCACTCACTCATGGCCCTTCTGAAGGAGCCGCCAATTCTGCAGCCACTCAAGAATTTCCCAGCATCTTATGGAACCCGAGGTTCATTACCGTGTTCACAAGAGCCCTCCACTGGTCCCTATCCTGAGCCAGATCTATCCAATCCATATCATCCCATCCTATCTCTCTAAGATCCATTCTAATATTGTCCACCCACCTACGCCTTGGTCTTCCCTGTGGTCTCTTTCCTTCTGGCTATCCCACCAATATCCTATACCCATTCCTCATCTCCCACATTCGTGCTACATGACCTGCCAACCTCATCCTCCTTGGCTCAAAGTTACAGTTCACATAATTTTTCTTAGGTCATATCTTGCTTAAATTTATGGTCTTCATACAAAAGCATTATAACAAACATGAGTACTGAAGAAATCACTGTGCATTTCAAGGCCGGATTTGAGGTCGCACAGCAGTGACTGTCTCTTAAGACGTTAGCCTGAGTAGCCTGTGAAAAATTTACTGACATTTCAAAGCATGCTTCTGCTTCAATCTTCAGGGTCAAAAAGTAAATCTAGCAGGAAAACAAGCATAAACAACTGACAAGTAGCCTTGCTTGCTTGTAGGGCATACTCCCCAATTCTGAAAATGAAGGTTATAGGCTCCTATGAAACGTTAGTACAGTTTTACCAAATTATGTCTCATCACATTCTGCAAAGGCACCACTGTTCATAGTCACTGACACAGAACCTCAAAACCAGCTTTTTCTTTGCTGTCTAATAAAAGTAGCTGTGTTTCAGTGGAAGCTGAAATTTAGAAAGTTGAATGATGCACATCAGAGATGTGATTTTTAAATGTGGTTGTACCTGTAGCATAAGGCTACTGAATAAACGCTGCATGCACTACTTTTCAGCTGTTCCCCACCCAAAGAATGCTGCACCTTGGGCTGCTGCTACATGTACATCCCTGGATACAGGCCACCATCTGTTCCTCCAACAACAGACATCTTCAGTATTGTTTTCTGGAACCACTGGTACTTCTGGTAGGCTAACATTGGCATTCCTCCTTAATGCTTGCTCTTACTAGCAGTTATTTATGTGTGAAAGAAATATATGCACATGGGTGCTGGCAGGGAGAGGGGGTCCAGACATCCTCCCCTGGACTTCTGGAATAAGATTTAAAATAAAAAAATAAAAAAAAAAAATGCAAAATATTAACTTAAAAGATTAGAGTTATTTCTAAAAATCTCTCATGAATAACCTATAGTGGCCAATCAGATTTGTGTTAAATGTTTATATCTTGCAATTGATTATGAACAAAATGGTGTAAAACTATAAAACGAGTTCATGGCATATCCACAGTGTTTCTTCAGGGAGTAGATGGGAGGTTGCCACAGAATCCTTAAGCAGGTGGTATCTTCCTTTTTTATGTTCTTGGAAAGGACACCTAAGGATGTGGTCCATGCATCAAAGTTCTGAGTTGAGGATACTGATGTTGTGGGGTGCGACGCAAAGTACCAGCTTAATCCACTGTTCTTCCAGAGCTGACTTGTGCAGATGATGCACTGGTGCTACTTGCTGTGGTTCCAGGTGTTTGCTGGTGGTATTTTTGGTATCATGTGTGGGTGGATGTAGTCTTTGGCGTCGTTGGCACTGCAGTTGCTGCTGCTGGAGAAGAGGTGATCCTGGAGGAGGATCCTGTGATGACGAACCCAGTTCAGGAAGAGAGTCAGTTACATCTTGTTATCCTCCACCTCAATACAGTCGCTGCTCATCCTTCCACCATGCACCACCGCCATACACAGAGGTGAGTTATGTGAGCAGTAATGCGAAACTAATATGACACCCTTCAGAATTCCAATAGTGAAATTATTCAGAATAAAATATAATAAGAAAAAGATTTATTTGAAACATTTTCCTCCAACCAGAACAGATCAGTGACTATAGTGACTAAGCTACAAGTCTTCCCATCACAGCGGCTCGGGTCTGATCCCGGGTCTGGTCAAGTGGGATTTGTGGTGGACAGAGTGGCGCTGGGGCAGGTTTTCTCCGAGTACTTCGGTTTCCCCTCCCAATCTTCATTCTACCAATTGCTCCACAATCACCCTCACCTATCATCTGGGGCTGGTACAATAGGCCAGAAGTGGCCGCAGTACAAGGGACTTAGTCCCACCCCACTAGCAATAAAGAAAACAAGCTACACGTTGGAAAAGCAAAGAATTTGGATTCCATTTGAGGCAAGGGGAAAGACATTTTCTTTGTCTATTACCACAGTACCCATATAAGCGTGGCCCACCCTGTCTCCTACACAATGGGTACCATGGCCAATTTCCCAAGTATAAACAGCTGACTCATGAAGCTGACCACTCACCTCCATCTAGTGCTGAAGTTAAGAATTCATGAAGCCATACCTCCATTCCCCCACATGTCTTCATTGCATTAAACACAGTGACAACTACACCTTCTACCTTTTCATGATTTACATGTGCACAAAAATACTCCCTAAAACTCTTATACAAGCTGTGGAGATGACCAAAAATTTTATAACTGAGAAATGTCTATAAAAGTACACTATAAGTACCATATGCAAGACAACACAAGAGCAGGAATTATTACTTAACATTTTAATTGTGCTTGGAATGTTTCAGGTGACATCAAAACCTGACCTGTATCCACTGGTCATCAGTTATGGTGACAATGGAAAGGGCAGTACTGGTGGAAATTACCTCATGGTTCAGTACTTCCGCAACTACATAGTGAGGCCAGTTGGTAAGAATAAACTGCTACACTAGATATGTACGTATAATCACTTTATGTTGTCTAGACATGGCAGTGCATTCAGTGTGTATTTACTCCATCTGAAATGATAAACTGATTGGATGGGTTTTAAACATATGTGTAAATGTAACTGGGTGTATCTAATATAACAGAGGATACTGAGACATACAGAAGGCAGTGGAGACCCACCTGGAAAAGATGAAGTATAACAGACTGTCTAAAGGAGAAATACAATACAGGCCTCAGGGAAGAAAGGTTGTTCATGAGCTCTGAAAGAAGGTGGTCACATATGCAGTGCGACATGGAACAGGCCCTAGTCATTTTGACCTTGAATAGTAAAGATGAGAAAGAAGGAGACATATGAAGGAGATATGGACAAAATTTCTGTTCATTCTTGACCATGGCACAACAAGCAGGTGAAAGTCAAATGTACTCTCTGATAACTATTTCTGCTTTTACATACTACCCAATTTGAGCAAACTCTAGAGCCACATACTACAGGGTCCTGACATGGTATATGGTAACAGCTCTTTGAAAAATATGCAAGTTTTGATACAGTACCTTTCTTTTAATGTAAAATAACAGTATGGTGGCCATGAGAAAATTTTCTTTAGTTTTCAGTTTGATAGACACTACTAATAAACAACTGGAGTTAGGCATGTGAAATATGGCACAGGGATAGATCACAAACATACTTACACATTAAGGCATGAATTGTTGTTTTTAAGTCAACAATTATAAATATAGCAGCATGAAAATTTGTGGTTATATCCAACATGTTTAACATAGTCAGAATCTATACTCATGAGTCGAGTTCTTCACACAGTTAAAATAAAATAACAGCGATAATAACGTCTATGATATGTATGCAGTGTCCGTCTTTTAGTGCACTCAATTTCACTTGTTACTTCACAACATGTTTCGGCACTACAGTGCCATCATCAGGTGCTCTATTTACGTCAATCTATTTCATTGCTTGCCATTACGTCATTGTAAAATTTAAAAAGTATTTAAAAATGTTCGTCAACTATAATAAATATATGTAATAAAAACTTGTTAACATTATTTATCTTATCTGTCCCAATTCTAACACCACGCATAGTTCCACCACTATGGGAGTCGTTCCTCTTACTCTCAGAGTGTATCGTGTCTCGTGTTGCGTGTTCCATGTTTGGTTGCGGGTGTTGTAATGTTGGGACAGATAAGATAAATAATGTTAACAAGTTTTTATTACATATATTTATTATAGTTGACGAACATTTTTAAATACTTTTTAAATTTTACAATGACGTAATGGCAAGCAATGAAATAGATTGACGTAAATAGAGCACCTGATGATGGCACTGTAGTGCCGAAACATGTTGTGAAGTGACAGGTGACATTGAGTGCACTACAAGACGGCCACTGTATACATATCATGGACGAAGATCAGTGCAACAGGACGCTAAAATACAACATTACGATAATAACAGTAATGGATCTGTAAAACCAGAGTTCTGTGTAGCAGGAAAGTCAGCTTTATTTAATTCTGTTTGAAACACCTTTTTTCCTTAATAAAGCTGTAGCTTGTCATTAACTACAGCATCTTACTTTACAGGTTCTCTGTCAGCCACAAGCACTGCAGATTCACTCAGTTCCAGTTTTCTATGCAATGCAGTCAATGAGGTTTGGATTACATCATCTAACTTTGTGTTTAGGGTAGTCACAGAACGTGTTACCACTTAACAAATGGCTTACTTTGTTGGAGGCGACGTGCCCATTTGTGTAATTAAGACTAGTCTGATGACTGCTAAACAGAACTGTATGAATACTATGACAGTCTACTTACAGAATGAGAGGTGTATTGATAGTTCCCTGCACACCTGATTTTCAAAGAGTTTTCTATTGTTAAAAACGATGATTTATTAAATTGATGATAATATTCCTTAGGGGAATTTGTTTTAAATTTCTTCTTCATGTTTAATTTTGAACACATATTTATTCAATTTCTCATTGGGGTAGGGGGGATACTTTATCATATTTTCAGTAGCTAGACTATATAGTGCAACATGGCAGGATCATTGAAGAATTGAAAAAGATTTGGAAGATAATATCGTGGTATTTGCCTGCAGTAACTGGGAGAAATCATGATAAGACCGATCTGGATAACCAGTATCCTGGCTGAGATTTGAATCAAGCACCTCTCCAATCCTGTTCTAGAACATTACTGCTACACCAGCCATCTCAGTCTCCCTCTAAAACGTTCTGATATTACAGAAAGAATGCTGCACACAAAACCTGTAATTGCTACAGGGTAGGCACTTTAAAGAAGGCACAGCGCCATACAAACTTTAATGTCATTATATGTAGATTCTTGTGTTTCACAAATATTACCTATAACAAATTAATGTTAATGCTTTGCAAAAAGCAGATCTCATTGCTGTCTTCTGGAGAGTAAACACAGAGAAAACTAAGTACATACTGATGTCTTATGCTAGGATGCAAGACAGAATCGTAACAAAAAGATGGCTAATAGACCCTTCAAAAATGTTGGAATGATAGTAACAAATCATAATTTGATTCATATGGAACTTAAGAACAGATTAAATTTGAGTAATGCTTGCTACAATTCTGTTCAGAAACTTTTCTTCTCATAAGCTGTCCAAAAATTTAAAGATTACGGCATACAAAACTATAATTTTTCCTCTAGCTGTATGACTGTCAGACTTAGTCTCTGATATTAAGGGAAGAACATACACTGAAGGTATCTGGAAAAGGGTGCCGAGAAAAAATGTAGTTCATAAAATGGTTGGAAATTCTTGAGTAGCTGAGCAACTGTTGACTTCTAAAAAAGGACTCAAGCCCATGGAGTTAGTTTAGTTCTGTCTTCTTGTATTTGATGCCACATAGTCTGGTAGTAAGTTCCCAGTGGTTTTGTAGGAACCTGTTGTTTCCATCACGTTCTGTCTTGAAGATGGTATAAGCAGGTTCCTCCAAAATTCTGGTAGCTTTTCACCAGAGTTCAATGCATCACATCCTATAAGAAAGTAATCTTCATATACACTACTGTTAAGAAGCAGAAATCTCATATATTCTGTTGGTTCGTAGTTTATATGTGCTATAAGATTATATAAGATGCCTGATCTCCTCTTTCCAGGCCAATACAATAATTCCACCACCATATTCTTGTGCTGGAAGCTTGGATGAGTTCCAAACTTCAACACCACTCTCAACCACCTTGCCACCGCCACCTATGCTATTACGCTCTGTGTCATCAATTACCAGTTTCAGCAACCATAACATCTATGCAAGCAACTCAGCAGAGAACCTGTCACAGACGTCTTCACATCAGAACATATCTCTGTTAACAATGACTCAGCAGCAACCAATCACTTCCCGATCCCCTAGTTGCCTCTCCGGAGACATGCAACTCCAGCCTGGGCAACAGTTACTGCCAGACATGTTGCAGCATCAACAAAGTTTCGTGTCAGCAACAGCCTTATCAACAACAGGCTCTGATATAAGCAGCTTGGCTGGTGTGGGTACCCCTGGTTCCCCTCCACGAGCGACTAGCCCCACTCTTGAGATACGAGAGCTACTTGGTAAGATCCAACGGCTGCCTTTCCAACAGCCCATACCCCTACAGGAACACTGCTCAGATTACTGTGGTCCTACACTCACTGATTCTCAAAATAACAGTAGGAAAAAGAGATATCGCAGTCGTGGTAGTGGCAAGAACTTATATATGCCATTAGGACTTGGAACAGTTGGCTCAGGAAGTTCTTCACGAAGCTACAAATGGCTGCCTCGATCTGCACCTACAACACCTTGTACAAACTATCCACCACCTTTCCTTGCAAGTGCAGTGTCACCACCAAGACCAGCTTCCTCAAGCAACCGACGGCGACAGTCCTCAGGAACAGCAAAAGAAGATGGAAACCCACTCCTAGCTGAACATGTTTCAGATGAAGAGAATGAACAGGCTGGTGTGATGTGATATCATTGTTCGCGAACACAGTTCTTTATTTTTGTCTTATTGCGGCAGAAATATATGTAGGCCTACTTATCTTGCAGGATAACTGCTACGGTCAGTTGTTAATATAAGTTTTAGGGTTCCCACAGTGGTGCCTGTTCAGACTGTGCGCGTCTGGGCTATGACACCATGTAGTCTTGTAGATGGATACTGACATTTCAGAGGAATGCTCTATCTCCATCTTCAATGCTGAAATGTGAAGAATAAGTAATTGGTTTGGTTACAAAGCCAGACTGCAAAGAAGTTTGTCACTGAAGATGTTATGTTTTCTCATAATTCCATCATCCTCCTGTTATAAAAAGCAAACTGATACCACTGAAAGGAGCTGAATCCTTGCCTACCACTCCTATTGGTCAGATCAGGTTTCCTTGTCTGCTGGATCTAAGTGACCACATTCATTACAATTTCCTTATTATTTAAAAGAATTCCTTGCCCTACACTTCAATTCTGAAAATGGAGGCAGCATGTTTCTTCAAAATGTTGGTATATGCTTACAAGACTGTATCGTGTGCCAAACTAGAAGATATTTGCTTGTCAACTTCAAAATTCTTACCATTTTTCAAAACATAAATCTAAATAGATATTTCCTGTTTTTCTTAAAGACAGCTGAACACTGAATAATGCTCTCCTCAGAAGCTTCCTGACAATGTCTCTCGTTATTTCAGCAAGTAGGCGTGCTAGTCAGGGGTGTGCTCATATAACATAAAATTATGGTGAGTTCTCCATACAGCACTTCCATGAAGTGAACTTGTGCGTTATGTGTCAGTCTAATTTGATTGAAAGAGCCTCCACCTCTGCTACAAGTATGCATACTTTGAAAGAATATCACTGTATTTTCCTGTCTGAAGGAGACAAATTGTGTGTGCTATATTGAAGTTTTAATACTGAGGTATTGGAATAACAAACTAATTCTACCAATGGACGTGTTAATTGAGGGAATCCCAACAAACTTAATAATAAATAAATAAACATAAAAATGAAATTAACAAACCAACAACAATAATACTGTTGCTGATGATGATAATAATGATGATGATGAAGTGATCATTCAATCAGCTTGCAAAAAAGGGAAATTTTCCAAAAGAAGAACAACGTGTAGTGATCACTGTTAATCTGATCATGAACAGGATAACAATATTAATGTTGTTCTAAAACTGCCATGTTTACAAGTACTGCTGCCATTTGAATATTGTAGTAGGAAATTTATTTAGAACTGTATTTTCTTCAGACTTTTCTCAATATTAGCAATATTAATAGTTAATTCTGTTAATGGTGGATGTGTTGAAATGATCAGTGCTCAAAAGGAATAGGATGATAGGCTGTATTAATTTGTTTAATTATGTCACTGGATTGATAATTGGTCACTTCCATTGAAATCGCAATATTTTATATAGATGAAAAAGACAAATTGTCAGGAGCCTCAAATAAATAACTTCAAATTTTGTCTCTCTTATGAGCATTAGGACTTGATTTCTATGGGAGGGGAGATACCAGGACATGTCAGTCCCTAGGATCTTCATTAGTCTTTGTCCATGTTCAGTGTAGTGCATCATGCAGAGTGCTCTGTTGTTACATTTTGTGATTACAGTTATCTTCAGAGGATTCATTACCATCTAAATATTAACTCCTTACTCTATAGTTAGTCTAATGCTGATTCAAAAATGAAGCCCCAAACTTAAAGACCAAGGATATGACAATGTGCTGTCTGGTAAGGGCTATTGCACACTTTGGGGAGGGGGGGATAGATGAGTATGGAGCAATGGTGAAATGGCGATTAACAAGAGAAAACTAATGAAATTCAAGAAATATCTGCTCCATAGCCACTCCATGCACTTTAAATCTCACATTGGCCAGCTGAGACTGAACCCAAAGTGAGAAGCCTCATTACAACATATTTAAAGATAAAGATGTTCCTGTGCTTAACTAATTAAGCACTACTCCATGAAGGCATATGGGGGAGTGGATGTCTAGATACACATTTCTTGACCTCAGCATTAGTTTGAGGTGAGTGGTCAGCTTCACGCCCAGGCCGCTTTACCCCCAGAGAAAGAGCCCCCCAGCACCCATTGCATAGGAGGTTGGGTGAGCCCCAGAGCCGGTCTGGACAACATAGAGAAGAGAAAATTGTTGACCCTACCAGGATTCAAACTGTGAACCCTCGGTTGTTTAACCCGTACCCAGTCGCTATACTGACTATGTTATCCCAGGTCCTCATCACAACATATTTAATTTTATAAACTGTACTCTAAAAATCACACAAAATATGGTGGAAGTAATGAGAGCATGATCTGAATAAAGAGCAAGTTGCATATATATATAAATATATAAATAGAAGATAAATTTGTCCCTGTGCTTAATTAATTAAGCACTATGTCATGAAAATACATGGCAGAGTGGAGGAACAGCTCCACCATTCTTGACATTGGCACTGGATGGAGGTGAGTGGTCATCTTCATGCCCTTGCCACTTTACCCCCTGGAAATCGAACCCCATGAGGAAACAGTGAAAGAATTATGAACATCACTGTTAAAAGATTGGATACAGCACTGTAATGAAACTGGAAAGATTACACAGAAATAATATAGGAACCATCAAAACAATTATCTAATATGAACCTAGATGACTGATATGTTTATGAACATGAAATGAACATAGAAAGATTGTTATTTTCCAATACATGTACTGCCTATTATCACATCTCCAGCCCTGTGAGGTATGCTAGATATGCCTATGTTGTGACATACAAGTGTGGTAGAGAGAAATATGGTTCTGTTTAAAACGTGAACAATATTATTCAGTCTATGACTGACTGAGTGATTCTGAAAACATAACAGCATCACTGTGTTGCATTGAGCTGAGCTAAGTCTCTTTCATATTAATATTTATGCTCTTGATGTTCTTCACCAGCATCACAGCCTGTGTTTGCAGTAATGTTCTTAAAATAAACTTCTTGCATACTGAAGTGCCTAGTCTTAGAAACAGCAATACCCTCAATGAACGGCATTGCAACACTGGTATGGTTCAGTGACATCATGCAGTGTATTTTTAGGTGTTCTTTACAGAGTAAAGAAAAAAAGAAAGAATGTCTTACGAAGATCCTGTCTGTGACCTAGCATTAACATCTGAACTGGACACATGTTTTTCCTTAATTTGATACTGCAGACTTTCCTTAAAAGTTACCACACAGTTCCAATTTTCAGCTATATTCATCCATAATAAAGCCTACTCTATATTAGACGATAAATGAACATTTTCATGTATATGATTAATCATTAACCACATTCTGTCAAAATATGATGTGGAAGTTCTATACATAATGTTAATTGGTTGGCCATTTTGATTTGTAGCCATACTGGCTCTTTATGAAGCCTACTTTACATAAGGTTATAAATGAAACTTTTACAAATATATCATAAACAATAATCTTGGCCTAACACACCCTCAATATGTGTTACAGCAGCTTACCATTGTATTTCACTTATTGTGATTTGTCATAACTAGTAATTCTGTGTCAGAAGACTTCTTTTATAAATACATTCCATCTCATTGTACTGTTTTTTTTTTGAGTCATAAAACGTTAAATTGGGTATTTTGTATTTCTAGATGTGCAGTGATTGATTGTTAACAGAATTCTTTATTTTAAATTTGTATACAGATGTTGATTAATAGACATATTCCTAGCAATAAAAACAGATTTTTTTTATTATAATACACAAAAATAGCTATGTATTTTCTCTTCTGGAAGAACTACTGCCACCAAGATTTTATTCCAAAAGAGACCAGAAACAAAATTTGCATATAAACATACAGTTATTCATTTAAGAATATTTTTATGGATCACTCTAGCGTTGTGGGTCTTTAAATTGTAACATATTTGGGGTCACATTAAAAATTATCTTAATTAGCAGTATTAATATTTTGTATATTTCCTTCTAAGTTTTTATTCTCTCTTCAAAAATGCAAAAGGAGGGGCCAGATGAAGGCAGACACCGTGAATACTGTTTTGTAACCATTTACCATGTGAGAAACATATTTCCTCATCACTAGAACATGTTTTCCAAAACACAAGTTTTGAAGCTTTCATGAGAATAAATGCATTCAGATCATTTTGGGTAGTTAGATGCATCATGACTGAAGTAAAGACCAACGTTTCTAAGACTCTTTCTCTCCATCATCAGGATCACCATCACCTATGATGACAGAGATAAGCACATCCCCGAAACTTTGATTTCTTATTCAGCTATGATTCTATGATTGCCCAAGATTATTTCAGTGAACTCATACGTTAAAAATAACCCGTCTTCTGAGATATGGCACCATGTAGTCTGGTACAAGTTTACCGACGTTTCGGAGGAGCATAATGACGCCATCTTCAGGGAGGAAGAGAAGGACGCACATGCAAGCAGCATACAGAGTGCCTTGTGCTCAGAACTAAGATGGGGAGAGACCGTGGTAAGAATAATGACACCCAAGCTGCGTAAATTCCGCATATTCCGCATTTTTCAGCGGCTCGCCCTCCCCCCTTCAGGAACTTTTTTTTTCGGCATGTAACGCATAATACGTTCATAGATGGCAGTAAAGTAGATGTTCCGTCATATGTTTCAAATGTCCGGAACAGCTGCATTAATCAGTAATCCGTAGTAGTCCGGTTTTTCGGCCAGGTTTGGGTTTGGACGCTAAAATGGCGCAGAGGTTTGCAACTTCGCCGGCTGCAGCGACTTCAGGGCCTCCACAACAGAGATATCCGCCACCTCCAGTTCCAGCACTACGACAGTATGCTGGGCCAAGTTTTCCCGTAAGTTTATTGTTATAATTCGTTCATTTTATACTAATCGTACAGAAGCATACCGATGTCATTATTGACACTGTACGGTTTTCTTTTGTCCATTATTTTTATACATCCTTTACTGAATGTGATTCATGTGGTCAGTTTTCGTATCACCCAGATTTGATAGAGTAAATTGAAATGTTTGCTACGTGAAGATTGTGTGGTGTTGAATGTGGTATGATAAGAAATCACTAAAGGGGTTCGAACCTCAGTTACAGCAAAGGCCTGGTTTCAATCCCCCACCTTCAATTGGTTCATCACCAGGCCCAAATATGATGCAGCGGCCGCAACAGCAACCACCATATACACCGATGCGACAGGGTCCAATCAATCCTCCATCTACAGCTAAAAGACCAGCTGACTCTAGACCACCACCTCCACAACAGAAAAGGTGAGATTTTTGTCTCTTTAAAAGTGACAAAGGCAGAATCAAATCTGTTATGTATGTCTTTTTACACTTTTTACACATGACTCGATTTCTGGAGGCATGTAGCATTTTGCAGAAAGGCTAGAATATAAAGCTGGATTTACAACATATCATTAGACATCTTGTGCACTTAACATTGTATGCAGTTTTGACAAAACTGTTCTGCATTAAAAGAATATGTACTTCAGCTCACAAGTTGTACACCTTTTAGCTGGAGGGGAAACTGCATTGATACAGATGTAATGGGATCATGTAGGCCCTAAATTAAATTACCATTTTCAATTGGCCGTTACAGTCATACTTCATATTTTTGTGAGTGTAATTTATTTATAAATCTATTGAGATACAAAATGAGAAGTCAGGATACAAAATAACATCCATAAACAGAAAATGCAATAAGGATAAAATGGGACCACTGAAGAAATTGGAAGATAGGTGATGAAAGGGTAAACCATGATTGTTTACCATTCTAAGCATACTTTTATGATCTTACACAAATATGTGGCTTATGTTAACAAAGGAAGAGTCAGAAGAATTCGTGCTTTGGCCCAATGATTTTTATGTGAAAAAAATTTGTATAGAACCCCTTAAGTATGATCAAACTCAGGAAAAGGTCTGAAGAGTTCTATCTTTTGGGATATAACACTGTGTAGTCTGATGAAAGTCTGCTTTATGCTTTCTTCCCTTGCTTACTCTTCATCCCTGAAGATGGAGGCAACATGTTCCTCCAAAATGTCAGTTGACCTTCAAAAGACTACACAGCATTACATCCAAGCAGATAAACTCTTCATAATCATCGCTGTAGGAACCTCAAATCCTGGAAGAAAAGGATTCACAAGGTGAAAAATCTGACAAATAAATATGGGTGAATGGCCATAAGAAATGGCTGGGAAATTGCTGGCAGTCTTGTCACCTGAATAAGTGCACACAATAATTAGCATTCTAGATCAGCCGAGCAATAATTAGCTTCTCAAGGACTGCACCGTCGAAGTTATTAGTTAATTCATTCGTTCAGTAAACCAAGTGTGTGAAGGTTGCAATTTTTGTTTTATTTTAATATGAAAACTCAGATTAGCAAATATAAAAAATGATAGTCCCATGATCCTTTGTGTTGTTACTCGAAGATAAATCAGTACTGTAAGCCATGTAACAATAGTAGAATGGATTGTGGGATACTGTATGATGCCGTTTGCATCTAATTTATGTGGCGTCAAATGGTAGGATGATGAATTGGAAAAAAATATGGAAGGAAGTAGCCATGGCATAATTGAGGTCCTATCCTGTGAGTTGCCTGGAGGGACAGAGGAAAAGCATGAAGACCTCAGTCAGGATAGCTGGTTTGCCAGCTAGAGATTCAAACCAGTCACCTTCTGAATGCTATCAGTAGTGGTATAATGGAGATGTTAATGTTTTATGTTCAATGTATTTTCAGCGAATTTTCTCATTCTACAAGTAAGAAAAAGAAGAAACTGGCAGATAAGATTTTACCACAGAAGGTACGGGACCTGGTCCCTGAATCGCAAGCATACATGGATTTGCTGGCCTTTGAACGAAAACTGGACTCCACCATCATGCGAAAGAGATTGGATATTCAGGTATCCTAATCAGCTTTTAGGGCGATATTAACCAATTGTCTGGAGAGTGTCTTTCATCTGCTGTAGTGTAACTTATCCTGGGTAGTCTTCTTTCAACCATGCAACTCTTAAGTGCCCTACAGTGCAAAATCTTCACTCACTCATGGAGCTGAGCTCTTCTTGAGAAGCTGCCAATTGTGCAGCTACTCCAGAACTTCCCAGCATTTTATGGAACCAGAAGGTTCATTACCATGTTCACAAGAGCTCTCCACTGGTCCCTGTCATGAGCCAGATCAATCCAGTCCATACCATCCTATCGTATCTCTCTTAAGATCCATTTTAATATCCACAGAATCCATCCAGGTCTGAGGCTTCTTTAGCACTTTTGTAACAAGCTCATTTTTTACAGTGAGGGTGGAGGACCACCCCTTGTCGGCTGTCTGTGACTGCTTATGCAATATATTCGCAGCTTCCCTCCATATTTGGAGGGTCTCTCCCCTATCCACAACCTGAGGATGTGCCATGCTGTAGTGACAAGGGACCTACCCAACAAAATCTTCACTGTTCAAAAAACGAAATTATGATGATTCTGTTGTAAACTAGAATTCTGTATGTGCACCTTATTGTGTAGGTGTTCAGTTCATATCTCGGTCAGTTTACTGAATAACAAGTTTTATGGTCCTCAGTTACTCCAGGCAGATGCTGGGACCACTTCCAAATCCTTTCCATTTCATCATCCATCAGTTGCAGCATTAAACAGACCACACAGAAAATAATTCATTTTGAATCTGAATCATTCCTTACTGCCGCAACGTTCACGTCACACATCACTTTCGGACACACAACAGATACTATCCTGACACTGTACGACCGTTTGCAACTGAGGATCCCTCAATAAACTGAACATCAATCCAAATATTCATTTCTGTCATATGTCGACTGACTGACAAGATAACAATGTTACAACAAACTACACTTGTTCTATATGACAAATCAGCACGTTGCTTTCTATATATAAAATGAAGTATTCGATTAGTTTATGGAAAAATGTCATCATCTGTTATTTAACTCCTGTTTTTGGTCCCCAGGAGGCCCTGAAGCGGCCAATGAAACAAAAACGCAAACTTCGAATCTTCATCTCCAATACATTTTATCCAGCAAAGGAGCCTTCTGAGGGGGAAGAAGGAAGTGTTGCATCATGGGAATTGCGTGTGGAAGGCAGGTTACTGGAGGACAGTAAAAATGATCCCAACAAAGTATGTATTATCTTCTTGTTCATATATCATCACTCAGTTATATCATTTCAGTGACTATCAAGTTTTTCTGGTAGAAAATCTATGAAAGTGTTAGCAGCACTGTAGCATTTCATATCTCCCCTCTGTCTCAGGTATATATGGGTTTAGAGGCACTTCTCTCATTCCGTCTTCGTGAATGAATAAAAGAAGGCATTGCGTAACACAGCATTTGGGTTTGATATTTGTAGATTGTAACCAGTGAGGTTTATCCAAGGTGCAATTATTGCTAGTTGAAAACTTATACCAATACCACAGCATCCAGAATATTCAACTACCAATCCAAATTTCTCCTTGCGACAAGCTGATGACCCGTCCAAGGAGTCATACTGTCTATAAAAAACGATTGATGAAACTGAGAAATCAGCCCTATGCTCCAAAGAGGGAGCGAGAGGAAGAAAAGAAAATTCACAGCTCTCTGAATTTTCATTAAGGCAGACGGAACAAAAACTATGATTTCAAATTAAATTTGTCACAAGCAAAATTCATGAGAATTGTACTTGTATTGGTAAAACTGAAACATGTGGTAACTTTAATTCTGTATAAAAGAAATGTGTCCTATACTTATATTAGAAAATAAAAATGTCAATACAGGGAAATTCTCATGTAAGGGCTCTTTGGGGAGCAGTAGATTTGGACACTAAACTGAGGAAAAATTTTATATTTTATAGTGAGACTGAATAGGAATCATTTAAATATTAAATGAGGGAAAACTATAAATCAAGGAACATACTGTAAAATTGAAGTTACACTTGAACCTACATAGTTGAGCAGTGTTTTTCTTGCCAGCCCCTCTTATTAGCACAGAAACCATTTAAGGTTAAGCAAAACCTCATTATAATAAATTTAAATTGCATAGAATCTAAATTATACAGTAAAACATCAAAATTATCACACACACAACTGTAATTTGGATATTTTGATTTCTTTTTGTTTTATCTATCAGCACTTTGCCATGTAGTTAATAAAATACTTGTTTTCGTCCTTTTCCAGGTGAAGAGAAAATTCTCATCTTTTTTCAAGAGCCTAGTAATTGAACTGGATAAAGATTTGTATGGACCAGACAATCATCTTGTGGAGTGGCATAGAACTCCAACAACACAAGAGACAGATGGCTTTCAAGTGAGGAAAAAATGTTATTTATTGAAAATTGGAATATTGGAATTCATTTTAACGAAACATTTATATGTTCATGACATAATAATTACTCTTAAGAGTGTGACAACCTGTCAAATCATGACTGATCTCCTTCCTTTTCATATTATCATGTTACATTTAAGAAAAATATTACTGAGCATTGCATTCTAGTGGGTAGCACTCCTGCTTCACATTCAGGAGGTCATTAGTTCAAATCTCAACCTGCAGTTGTGCTGTCCCCTATATACATACTGGAGTTGTGTATAGGATTTTAACAAGTGTATATTTCATGAGTTTCAACACACAAATTTACCTAATTATATTCTGCTTCAAGGTAAAACGCCCCGGCGATAAGAATGTCCGGTGCACTATCCTCCTGTTATTGGACTATCAGCCCCTTCAGTTCAAGCTGGATCCTCGTTTGGCACGACTGCTTGGAGTACATACCCAGACACGCCCTGTCATCATTAGTGCCCTTTGGCAGTATATCAAGACACATAAACTGCAGGTGTGTCTCTTCAGAGTAAAGAACTTTGAAATTATTTAGACAGATCTGTCTCATATTGAGTTTCTTTTTAAATAAAACTTATTTCTTTTATTTGTGTGTTTCCATTGTAATTCACAGTTTCCATTATTGAAAGCAACCGGCAGATGACTTTGTACTGTTGTATTTGGTTATGTGTATGTTCATTTGATGTTGATGTCTCCATTTTTATGTAGGTTGTCTTAACAGGCAGTCCTCTATCTACCAGTGTCTTCTCTTCCCCCTCTTCTTCTTCCTCCTCCTCCTCTTTTTCTTCTCTTCCTCTTCCTCAGTTTCCTCACATGTTCTTTCTTCCTTTTACACGACACATTTCCTGTCCTGTTGTTCCCACTGTATGTGTATATTCCCTATAATGCAATATTCCCCTTGTCGTCTGCACACTCCGAGATATCGACATTACGCACATTCTTTGTTTCATGTGTCAGTTCCTGTAATCAGGCCATTCATATAATGTATAATCATTTTAGGTTCCATACAAAGACAAGAAATGTGTAGCCCTTAACACAATAGGAACACGCAGTAGCATAGTTGGTTGAGGCATTATGCTACGAGCTGGAAGGTCGCGGGTTCGATTCCCAATGAGGTCATAGGATTTATCAGTTGACCTAATCCTTCCAGCCGCACTATGGCCCTGGGATCGACTCACCCTCTAACAGAAATGAGTACCAGGAATCTTCCTGCAGGTAAAGGGAGGCCAGCCAGTGCATAAGGCTGACATCCTCACCACCATCTCTTAGCCAATTGTATGGAAAATATGGGAACCTCAGCATCTCACAACGCCACGGGCCTGCAAGGCCTGTTACAGGGATAGCTTTACCTTACCTTGACGCAGTATTCTGTAGTAATAAAGTAATCATACTGCCTCACGTAAGAGATATATTCAGTAATTTCCATTAATATTGAATTACATTCAACATATGTAATAGAGCTGCTAATAGGCATTACATAGAAAATGTTTTTCACTACTGGTGCTTCGTATTCCAAAGGTCTGGTTCAAATCTTGGCCTGGCGACTGGCTACCCTGGCTGAGGCTCTGGTTCTGCAGATGCCAGAAGAGTACCTCAGTTCAGGTCACAGTTGCTTCCTCGCACATCGTTTCCATTGTTGGCACTGTTATTATTTACAGGATGCCCATGAGCGTGAGTTCATCAACTGCGACAAATACTTGGAACAGATCTTCACATGTCAGAGGATGAAGTTTGCAGAAATCCCTCAGCGCCTAAATCCACTGCTTCATCCACCTGATCCAATTGTTATTAACCACATTATCAGGTATTACATCATTTAATTTTAAAGTCAAGAGTGTTATAAACCCTCTGATCACCCCTATTTTGTAAAAAAGAAAAATTACCCAGTTCTTAACTAATTAAACAATACACCATGAAGGCATATGTGCGAGTGGATGTACAGACCGACATTTTCTTGACCTCAACGCTAGTTGGAGGTGAGTGGTTAGCTTCACAACCCAGCCACTTTACCCCTGGGGAAACAGCCCCAGGAATGCACTCGATAGGAGGCAGGGTGGACCCCAGAGCCAGTCTGGACGCTGCGGAGAAGAGAAGATTCTTGACCCTACTGGAACTCAAACTCCGACCCCTCAGCCATCCAGCTCGTAGCCAGCCACTAAACTGACTGTGCTATTCCGGCTCTGCCCCTATTTGTACAATGATCAGTATTGGGAATAACATGCTTTAGAGTAGCATATTCATCTTTGCAGTTCCCGTGAATGGAGTGAATGGTCGTCCAAGATGGAAATCACATTTGAAACCCCCTCCATATTTACATGTTTGTGATTTCTTGAGTAGCGAAGTGTTTGTTACATTTTCCATTTACATTGGACTCTGCTCCAGGGTGTTTTATACAATTTTATTAATGAAAGGAATATGTAGCCTAGCTATTGCCTGTTTTATTTTGTCATCTTATTAGTACACTAAGGCATTTAAACTGGTAACTCAATTTTGTCCATTGCTAAACCATTCCTTGTCAAACGCTAAATTAATCGTTAACATATACAAATCAGTGATTAATCACTGTATGAAAGGTAATTGATTAATAAATAAGGTGACAATATGTGCAGCCTTTCCTTTACTCTTTTATGTATAGCATCACATGTCACAGTGGCATGAATTAGCAGGTCAGTGTACTCGATGAAAGCGTGCTGTTCCAGTAGTGGAGACATACTGATTCCTTTAGCTTCCACTGTAGCACAACTGTGCCTCTCCAACTTGTCTCATTTTTAGCGTAGTGTTCACCGGTTAATGTGCCATTCACATACAAGTACTGGCTCACATTGCACATCTCCACATAAGACGATGTTTTACAACCATCACCAACTTTCCACATGCTGTTACTACATTCTGCTGTGTGTAAGGCTGGAAAGGGCATACTCCATGATACAGTGCACAGAATTCTCAATGGAATTTGTTGCTGTTTACTAAACTTGTTTGTGGTCTATATATAAAACCAGATTAACCATTTGTGATGTGTATGAAAGAGTCCATTTATGGTCATAAGTGAAACTGGACATTATCATGGCTCAGTGTTGCTGAAAATAAAGACTTCTATTGTATGTGTGTATCCCAGGGTTTAGGTGCTGACACTGAGTCACACAAACGGATAACCAACATGGCATAAGGACCTCGAATATAAAGTTTTATTAAACCAGCCTAATGGTTCTCAAGTTATGAGCTCATGACAAAATCATGGTTATAATCTTGAAATCCATGAGACATATGGAAAAGTGTGTTGGGCATAAAAATGTGTTTCATTTTGTCTCAAGTATTTTTTACAACAATAAATGTTTAGAGAGCTACACTCAAGATTCATGTAGGCCTTATATACAAGTGTCCATTTTTGTTGTCTGATCTTAACAAAAACCGGCATTTCTCAACAGTATTCATTGAAATTCTGTCATGTTGAATTGTAAACACATTCATCTAATGGCTTAGACGATACCAGGTCACAGAGAAGTAGACATGACCTCCATGTGAGTCACTCTTTCTTACGGTGTAAAGAAGAAAGCTGTTGCTTTGTCCACTGTTCTGCTCAGATTTGCCTGTGTTAAAGGACAGCAGCTGTCACCTTATTTGTTGATCGATTTACCGCAGTAGTGTCATGAGTAATGTAGCAACAGTAGTATGCTGCTAGGAGAACTTGTGAACTGTAGAGTCTTGTCTGTTGTCAGCACTAATGACAAAAGCTCGATCATAATTTAAGCTCTTTACAATGATTTTGAAGTGCTTTCTCGAATCCTCATTTGTTTATTCAGAATACGATCGACTTGCACCGAGTTCACACCGAGCACTACACAAGTTGACTTTGCAGAGTGAGTAGAAAATGTGCTGTCATAAATCAGTAATGTGTTGTAAGCACTGGCCTTTGTACATCAAGCGTAGTGGTAATATGAAATGCTGTGGCACTCGATTTAAAGTTTCGTGGCATTCTGTTGTTGATTTATTTCACTTGACATTGAAAATGTTATCTGTGTTTTTCCAAATAAAATTTCCTGTCAAATTAGCAACTCAGATTCTTAGGATAGATAAGCATAATGCATTATTAATGGAGTACAATGAAACCCCTGTTTAAGGTTGTTTTTGGAAAGCAATGGATCTGAAAAATGAACAGGAAAAACTTAAATGAATGTATATAAGTTTTGAGGTTTTCACGGTGATGACTATGAAGAAAGTCGTCTTCTGGGTTTAGGCGNTTTTGTTACTGAAATTAAACATTAAATGAAGGAAAATCTTAAATTGAGAAACATTGAAAAGGGGTTCCATTGTATTGTGAGCAGTACTTATAATGTCAAACTTTCCCTGCAGTAGTGTTATCGGTGAAGGTTTCTGTTAAGTTATAAATGATCTACATTAAACAATGATTCCCACTAAGTATTTCAGTTAAAATTTACTTCAAAGTACTTTGGATCAAATAGATATCTTCTGACCATATTCAGGCTCACCAAAGTACACTAATGTTGTGAAATTTGAGGTTCTCACAGCAGTGACTATGATGAGTACTGTCTTCAGGGAAGTCACACGCTGTAGTCGGGTAGTAATTTACTGTCATTCTGAAGAATAGACTGCCTGCATTTCCACTTCAGGGTTGAAGAGTAAGCGAAGCAAGCAACGAGTACAGTTGCTGCTTCCTTGGCTTATTCTTCAGTCCTGAAGCGGAGGCAGTATATTCCTGTGAATGTAAGTAAACTTGGTATCAGACTACATGACATCAGTCCCAGGAAATAGTGTCTTTATAATAAAGTTCTTTCACTTTTCGTAAGGATAGCATCCCCAGCAAACCTTTCAAGTTGTATTTCTCATGCTTCTGTATATATCCATCCCTCAGATTATAAGAAGGTGCTATGTATTATCTTAACTATGGAAACCGACTACTTTCTACATTACCCTGAAGATGGAAGCAAGAGCGGTCTTCAGAATATGGGCTGACTATCCCAGTATCATACAGTACTATTGTCTGTTAATTAGAATTGGAGATCAGCAGCAAAAGTCGGTATGTTTCCCCTTACTGAGCTTTTCTGGATTGCAGTGTCGAAGGTGCAGAACAGAAACAGACGGCCTGCTACGACATTGATGTGGAGGTCGATGACACGTTGAAAACACAGATGAATAATTTCCTGTTATCTACTGCCAGTCAGCAGGAAATACAGGTAACCTGAGGTTCTCTGTAGTTCAATATTAGTCTTCTGGGATGTGATGACACAGTTTTGTAGATGAGACCAGTGTTTTAAGAGGAGCCTGCTACCTGCTGAAGGTGACAGTGATAATGATGTGAAACAGAGTCCCTTGGTACATAATCCATTAGTAGCCCATTGTATCAGCCCTGGGTGGCAGACGAGGGAAATGGAGCATTTGATAAAATGAGAATTATCAAGGGAAATCAACATACTGAGAGAAACCTGCCATAGTGCCATTTTGTCTACCACAGATCCAACACGAACTGACCAGGAATTGAACCAGTCCCTCAAAAATGTTGCTACATCCCAGAAGATGATCTTGATACCAACATTTTGAAGGAACCTCCTGAAGATGGAAGCAGAAGTTCCTCTGAAACACTAGTATTCACTTACCAGACTACACTGTAGATACTCACTGCCATGAGAACCTCAAATATTTTTTCTATAATTTTAAATTTTAAGAATTCATTCCGCTGTGGTACTTGTGTTTTCTTTTCCTACACCCAGCCACAGTGTTATGGACAAAGCCCGTAGAAAGTGTTCTCACTGGGTGGAGGCTTGGTTCGTGATACAGCCACAGAAATGATAAACTTGTGAAATTTTCCTGTTCGTATGTACAAGAGATGTTTGATGCCCACCCCTTTTATATGTTCTAATTCTGTTCTGTTCACATATAGAGCTTGGATAATAAGATTCATGAAACGGTTGAAACCATAAACCAGCTGAAGACAAATCGAGAATTCTTTTTGAGTTTTGCAAAGGACCCGCAGCAGTTCATCAACAAATGGATTATATCTCAGACTCGCGATCTTAAGGTGAGTATGTCTCAGACACTGAGCAATCGGCTATTATGGCTAGGTTAACATCTTAATGCAGGTTAATTTCAGTGCCTGTCATACTAAACACTTTCAGTAGCTACACTGTATAGCTTCAAATGGATGGATATGATGAATTTGAAATGATTTGGGAGGAAGCAACTGTGGCCTAATTTAAGGTACTGTCCTGGTATTTGTCTGGAGGGACTGAGAAAAACCATTGAAAACATCAGCCAGGATAGTCAGTGCTTCAGACAAGATTGAAACTTGGTACCTTACAAATACAGGTGTTGCCATTTGAGTCAACTTGCTGAGTACTGCCTGTTGTGCCACATAAATTACCGTGGAGATAAATTTTCTTCGTTTAAGCCTCATCTCAGTAGAACCAACTGCACCTCAAACTGAGAGCTTCAGACTGTGCCTGCACATCTGTTGATTTTTCAGACTAAACAAAAATATGTTACAAATTTGTGTTCACAGACTATGACTGATGTGGTCGGCAATCCTGAGGAAGAACGCAGATCTGATTTCTTCTATCAGCCTTGGGCACAAGAAGCTGTGTGTCGCTATTTCTATACTAAAGTGCAACAAAAAAGAGCAGAGCTTGAACAAGCTCTGGGAATTCGTAATGCCTAAGACTGTCTCTCCGCATTTATCGTGGGTGGGTGAATGTAAGATGAATTGAAGTAGTGTTTTCATGGCTATAAACATTCATATTGTGGTGTGATGTAAACTGGTGTCATAATCCAGCAGATAATACAAATATAAAATAAATTTCTCCATTATACTGATATCTTACTTTTACAAGTGTGTGGAGCTGGTACATTTGAACTGTCGAGTTACAATTCATTATTGTGTGTTACTGATAAGCTGACATGTTAGTAGACTCCTTTATATCACTACTTAAAAGAAACTGTATTCTGATACAGTGAATTGTGTGTATTGTCACTGCACTTGCTAGAAACTTGAAGAGTCAGACCGTTTTAAAACCATGCACCATCACATCATAATACTTAATGTATCTAAACATGATTTTCTGTTGGTAAGTTTCAAACAGCTAAGTCTGAAGAATTGCAATAAACATGACTATTATATTGGATTTCATCCATTGTCTGTAGGAGCCAGAATAGCTCAGTCAGTATAATGACATGCCACAGAACTAGGGTTTGATTCCTAACAGAGTAAAAGAATTGTTTTCTTCAGTGTCCAGACGAGCTCCGGAGATCACTAAGCCTTGTATCCAATGGGGACTCTGTCTGACATCCCTTGTGAGTCTGCTAGTGATAGCGACTCACAATCTGATAGTGAGTGTGGCAGGGGCAAACAAAAAATTGTGGCCACAGACAGTGAAAGTGAAAGTGACATTGGCTCCGACGAAAGTGCAGGTAGCAACATTGCGGGGACAGCCACATGGGGAAATGTAGACAAAACGCCTGCTTGGGACAGTTTACTGGAAATCCAGGGGTGAAGTAAATTCCATTGGACCCAACGCAAGTGTCTGAAGTAGCGGAACTGTTTTTTGGAGATAGTTTCTTTGACATGCTATGTCAGGAAACTAACAGATACTATCCCCAACACCATGAACATTATGACAGAAGTTATAAGGCGTTGAAGTGGGTGGATGTCACTTCAGCAGAAATGAGAAAATTTTTTGCAATAATCTTTCTAATGGGCCATACAAGGAGGGATAATCTGAAAGAGTATTGGTCAACAGATCCAATTTTCGGCAAACTAATGAGCCGGTAAGAGATTTGAGCAAATTTGGTGGTGTTTGCATTTCAGTGATAATGAACTGCAACCACAATCAACAAGCAGGCTTTTCAAAATTCAGCCCTTATTGAACTTTTTCATTCAGAAATTTCAGACAGTTTATAAGCCAAACCAACAACTGTCTTGGGACGAATCTGTGATTCCTTGGAGGGGAAGGCTTCGTATGCAAACATATAATCCTGGGAAACTTACAAAGTATGGTCTGCTTTGTAAGATTTGAGGCTTTCATGGCGGTGACTATGAAGAAAGCACTCTTCTGGGATTTGGCACCGTGTATATGTGGTGTTAACCGACGTTTCGGAGGAACGTATCGCCCCCATCTTCAGGGTAGAAGAAAAAGTATAAGAAATCTGCAAGCGACAACACCGTGAGAAACGGTAAAGCAGACGGTGTTGTCGCTTGCAGATTTCTTATACTTTTTCTTCTACCCTGAAGATGGGGGCGATACGTTCCTCCGAAACGTCGGTTAACACCACATATACACGGTGCCAAATCCCAGAAGACTGCTTTCTTTATGGTCTACTTGTTCGTGTAGTTACTGAAAGCACTTCAGGCTATATTGGAAATTTAGAAATTTATTCTGGTGGAGGAAAGAAATTACAAGAAACTATTATTTCCATTTTGGAACCCTATCTTGATCAAAATTACCATGTCTATCAAGACGACTATTATAACAGTGTGGCAACTGCAGAACACCTACTTTCGAGAAAAGTACATGTTTGAGGAACAATTAGGGTGAACGGAGGCCTTCCTCCAGATCTGTAACAGGAATGTAAATCCCCAACCCCAGATCCTACACAGCACTGTATCCTAGAAGTCAGAACTCTTCATAACCACCGCTGTGAGAACCTCAGGTCCTACACAGTGCTATATCCCAGAAGTCAGAACTCTTCATAACCACCGCTGTGAGAACCTCGGATCCTACACAGCTGTATATCCCAGAAGATAGGACTCTTCATAACCACCGCTGTGAGAACCTCAGATCCTACACAGCTCTATATCCCAGAAGATAGGACTCTTCATAACCACCACTGTGAGAACCTCAGATCCTACACAGCGCTATACCCCAGAAGACAGAACTCTTCATAACCACTGCTGTGAGAACCTCAGATCCTACACAGCACCATATCCCAGAAGACAGGACTCTTCATAACCACTGTGAGAACCTCAGATCCTACACAGCGCTATATCCCAGAAGACAGAACTCTTCATAACCACTGCTGTGAGAACCTCAGATCCTACACAGCACCATATCCCAGAAGACAGGACTCTTCATAACCACTGTGAGAACCTCAGATCCTACACAGCGCTATATCCCAGAAGACAGAACTCTTCATAACCACTGCTGTGAGAACCTCAGCTCCTACACAGCGTTATATCCCAGAAGACAGAACTCTTCATAACCACCGCTGTGAAAACCTCAGATCCTACACAGTGCTACATCCCAGAAAATAGGACTCTTCATAACCACCGCTGTGAGAACCTCAGATCCTACACAGCTCTATATCCCAGAAGATAGGACTCTTCATAACCACCACTGTGAGAACCTCAAATCCTACATGGCTCTATATCCCAGAAGATAGAACTCTTCATAACCCCCTCTGCAAGAACTTCAGATCCTGTATACTGGGCCAGTACTTGCAGTCATGTGAAGAAACCTAAACACGTATGGGTGCAGACAGATTTGTGAAGAAAGAACTTGAGAGGTGAGTAAGAAATACGGGCTTTGCAAGCACTGATGCATACTTCATCACAGACAATAATCCAGCCAGTGACAAGTACAGGAAGTTTTGTTGATACTGCAGATGAAGGGGCATAAGTATGGCCAGCATTTCTGGAATTCAGCCTCTTCAAAAATACACGGTAGTACCACTGGTTATGATTTGAGTACAATCAGGTCTAATACTGGCCCAAGCAAAGAGAATCCCAGCCTCCAGTTAAACCAAATGAACTTTCTAGACACTGACAAAAACCGTCATTAGTGCCATAATTCTAAAACCCGCTTTATTTACACTTTTGCATAACATGTTTAGATGACTGCCAATTAATGGTCATGATAAGGAAAAATGAGCAGCAGAAATTAATTTTTATTCAGTTACCAATAACAAAACGCTCCTCTCTGCCATGTGGATTGTTGGAGGGTGAGATCGTATGCCTTTCTGATGATAACTGTTCATGTGTAATCTGCGGCAACTCATATTAGGCCTTATATGTTTCCTTGTATGCCAAGGACCCTGAGAGCTATACCAGAGGTAGCATAGCTACTGGCAGGGCCTCCCTTGCTGGACAGGTCAAAGGGTAGGCATCAGACGAAGAGAGACACCAAAAACTGATGCTGGAAGCAGCGTCATTGGCAACGACTTGAAGCACAGAGCAAATGATGCTCGAGATGGTTCAAGTTTGTATAGCAACAGGCGTGACCAGAGTGGTTTGAACGGCTGTTGTACTGTGATGTGGAAAGCAAATGGAATAACTACCACATATTACTTTTCCTGGATAGTCTCTTTCCAAAAAAGAGAGACACCATGTATGCGAACCAGAAGACTAGAAAGAAGAGGTAAGAAGATGCTGGATGACCTTGGGGAGAGAAGAGGATATTTTTATTTCAAGGAGACAGCTCTAGATCGCATCAAGTGGAGGAACTGTTTTGGAAGAGACTGTGGACCTGTCGTCTGACAGATTACTGATGAATGAATGAATGAATGAGTGAATGTTTCCTTCCCATTCTGATGCCTATGCTAGAAAATCACATTGAAAGTCCTTTATTTAGATTGTTGCCGTTTCAGAAAATTGGTTTCCTTGAAACAGAAAATATCAAATTGTATAAAGAAATGCCAAGCACAGCAAGACAAGTATTCACGCTACATAGGAAACACAATCTCGTCATTGCAGTAATGCACTAGCGCCCTTCGGTCAGTGACGGACCTATTCAATTCTAATAAATATATTTCAGCTCTTTGTACATTCATTTGTTCCAGATTGTGGTTTGATTCATAAGAAAGCTTAGTACTAGGCTCCTGCAATGTATTTCTTCAGTGAAAATAAAATATTATAAATTCAGTAGCTTTCACACAAGCTGAATTATGTTCTGCTAGTTACAACACATCATGACATGAAGATAGGAAACAGATGTTTTGAAAATGTGGCACAGTTCAGATATTTGGGAATGATGATAACGGATCGAAACCTGATTCAGGAGGAAATTAAGAGGTGATTGAACTAGGGTAATGCTTGCTATTATTCAATCCAGAACCTTTTGTCTTCTCGTCTGTTGTCCAAAAACATAAAAATTAGAATATACAAAACTATAATTTTGCCTGTGGTTCTGTATAGGTGTGAAACTTTGTCTCTGACATTAAGGGAGGAACATAGACTGAGGGTGTTGAGGAGAATATTTGGACCGAAGAGAGATGAAGTGACAGGAGGTTGGCGAAAACTGCATAATGAGGAGCTTCATAACTTATACACTTCTCCAAGTATAATTACGTAGAATGATCAAGTCAAAGAGGATGAGGTGGGCAGGGCATGTAACACGAATGGAAAAGACGAGGAATGCGTATAGGATATTGGTGGGAAAGCCAGAAGGAAAGAGACCACTGGGAAGACCAAGGCGTAGGTGGGTGGACAATATTAAAATGGATCTTAGAGAGATAGGATGGGATGGTATGGATTGGATTGATCTGGCTAAGGATAGGGACCAGTGGAGGGCTCTTGTGAACACGGCAATGAACCTTCGGGTTCCATGAAGTGCTGGGAAAGTCTTGAATAGCTGCAGAATTGGCGGCTCCTCCAGAAGGGCTCAGCTCCATGAGTAAGTAAGTAAGTAAGCTTCATAACACAGATTCTCTGCATGTTAATCAAAACCAATTTAATGTGTAGTAATTACTTGCGTCCTTACACACTCAAGCCATTTATCTTTCACCGCCGACGTGAAAGAGCAGCCAAGGAAGCGTTACGCTTTACGTCTGTTCGGGCAATGCCTGCAGTGCGAGTTATTCATTGGGAGAGCCTCTCTCTCACAGTCGCACTGATTTCATTGTCGTGCCGACCGAACCCTGTCAAGTTGTCAGTCTGTGGAATAAAAAAACACACAGAAACACGTGCATTGTGCCGACAAGGGATAAACCGGACACAAAGCCTAACTTCACGCAGCCTAGCCAGAAATCCTATCTTGGGCACCTAACGGGGAGGGCGGGAGGACAAACAACTTAGTTTGTAATTTAAAAAAATATCACATTCACAGGGTGTCCAACTCGACCTTAACCTAAGCCCTGAGTCATGGCGGCTACGCATGAAATGTAGTTGCCTGTCACGGTAATATGTTGTTACCATGCCCAGCCTGGGGCCGGGCTGACACGATAAGACCGTGCCGATGCTATGGCAAGTACCCATCCGATCCTAGTGTGGATGGGCCCTCAACCGCTAATGTTTCGCATGAAAATGGTTTGGTGTTAACTTTACCTGTCTGCGCGTTGCTCATCTTCACTTGATCCCAAGATCGAAGTCCGGCCTCGGATGGGTCCAGATGAAATCCATGAATTGTTGCAATCGTTGATAAGAATCACTGCACTTATCACTTGCAATACTATCACCAGCACTTACTGAGTTGTTGCAAATAGCGTATTCACATCACAAAACACACACAAACGCATCCAGGTCAGCGAACATTTTAAATACAGACAGGCCTCCTTAAAGAACTGTGGCCACAAACATTAACGAATCATTGAATCGTGCTTTTAAAATACGTAGCATGCTACATCTGAACACATATTTTAAAAATATATGGTCAAAGAGTTTTCATTTACAGCACAACACTCCTGTAAATAAACGAAACCTACGTTTTCGTTTTAAGTTACACGAAATTAATCCACCTCTGCCTGCCACAGCTAGACTTCCTTTTCCAAAAATATCCGGGTTTTATTCTGTCTGATAGGAACAGAGTTAGAAATACGTGTATATCTACATTTATTTCGGAACAATGGTATAAAGTTAATATGCAGAGGCTAACAGTTGTACTCATTTGTTCTTTGCATTAATAATAACTGCTACAGGCTTAAGCTACTCCGAATGCAACAGAATGGAAACACCTTCCGTGATAAGCCTTCTGGAAACAAAGTTACAGCGTAAATATCGGCTTCTTAAGCCACTGTAACGAAGAATCTGCCATCAAAATATCCACGGACTGTACATAAACATCGGTATATTCAACTGTGGAAACACAATATTGAGAAATATTTCGTGGCGAAGGCGATTGCGTGGGTAATAGAGTACATCACATATCTAAAACTTCGAGGCCTATGCCTTAATATAATTGTTGCGATAGGCTGAATGCGTTCCTTGAAATGGGAAACACAATGTTCATAAAGAATTTTGAGCAGAAATCTCCTCAAAAGTGAAACGGGCTGATACAAATATGGGAACAAAACATTAAAGTGGAATAAAGGTGCCACAAGCAAAACTGGTTTGAAGTGGCTCAAGATCATGTTGAATGACGTACTTTGTTCTCGTGATGTTGATTTATTTTCCTTTGGGTTCTGTTAAATGCATAAACAGCGGCCTCCGTAGTCTAGAGGTAACGTTCCCACCTCATGACTCGTGGTACGCGGGTTCAAATACCTGGCGGAGGTCGTCGAATTTTTAAGGGCGGAAAATTTCAGGGAACAAGTCCTCCGGGAGGGACTTTAAGCTGTGTGTCCCGTGTCGTAACTTTACAGCACGTAAAAGAACCTCATATCCCCAAAGGGGATCGCTGAGCCAAATTCCAGGACGTTTCCCGCCCAACAATAGTCTCTAAGGCCCCTCTGATAGATAGGGGAAGCATTATAGACACCGCTAAGCAAGTGGCCGAACTCGCTTGCTCGGCGGGACTGATGGTACGCACCATTTATCGGTAGGGTAAAGAGACTGGTAGAATATCATAGAGGGAACCACAATAGATCCAACTGGTCGCGGTGCATGGGGAAACTCACCCTCTCTAAAATAACTAACTAAATGCATAAACCGATTCATAATTCCGTATCGACGAAACGGCTGCTGATACATATAGTTTCAAATTTAAATATTCTGAAATTCTTCGATTTACAGAACCTTTGCATTAATTTATATGTAGCGCAAATATTAATCATAAAATTTTAGGTTTTTAATACTCCATTTAAGCTGACAGTACTGCAGTAACATTAGCCAAACGACCGTAACACTGAGAACGTGGTTTCATTAATATTCTAAACATTGGAAAGTATAAAATTCATACATTCTGTCAACAGGCTAACAAAGTTGGCTTCCAAATGCTAATATAAATGTAAGTCAGTTCGCATAAAATAATGTATAGTTTCTAAATATCTAACAAATGCAATTTACAATGTTGGGCACTGACCTACCCCCTTTTGAACAAATCACTGCGCAGCCTAGTAAACCTGACAGGCCGATGAACACTGACCGAGAACTTCCACTTGAACCCATATTCTGCCGGTTCTGCCGATTCTGCCTGTGATTTACAGTGGCAACAAGTGTTAATAGTAACTAGTAATAATCTTCCTCAAGATGTCGCTCGTATCGATATCAAACGTGAATAGCAATGGCGGATAGTGAAAAATAATCCGCTCTTAATAACTAAAGATAAAAATCAGAAGACGTTCCAAAATTTCTGTTATAGTCCTAATAACAGGATATATTTTCTCTGTTCAAAAAATTGTCCGAAATGTTACGTTTCCACTAAAATGTCACTGTAACATGCTCGGGTACGATACGCGATTTCGTTGACTAAAAAGATCTTTTCTATGCCTTATGAATGTCCTGTCCATATTGTCGCGTCATAATGTGCTCACTAATTAGGCAGACGAGACGAGATCGGGGTATGTCATGCATAATTCTCTATGATGATTTAATTGTGGACTTGTGTTGGACACAGTAACAACAGTCCCTGATGTCGACCAAGCAATCATTTCACCCATCTGGTTGGTGTAGCGGTAACGCTCGGTTCGAATTCTGACTGTGGCACTAGTCAGCCTGAGGTTCTTACGGATTTACTCAACCCCTGCTTAAAATTTTTGGATAGTACCACAATTAGGCCACAGCAGTTTCCTTCAAAATCCTTTTCAATTTCGAGTCATTTGACACTAAGTAATCTGCATACTGACAGCGTAAATTAAACCACAGTAAAATATCCATTTTTACAACAACAAAAAATACTGTATCGTCCTACTTCAGAGAACGTCAGCAGTAATAACAAGCTTCCATAACAAATATCACAACCTATATTGTTGATGTTCGCGTAAGTGAATACTGAATAGAGGCAAAACTGAATCATGCACAGTTCTCAAGTGCATAAAAAAATGTTCATTATCAATGACATATATTGGGATATGAATACATTTGCAATAATTCATTTGCACTTAGGTAACAAAGATTACTATTTTCGAGGGATCATTACCATTTGGTCTTTGTCAAGATTGTAAAATTGTGTCCTGGGGCACGCTCTCTGATGAGAGGGTGGATCTGTCAGTTGTCAGAAGTCATGGTCGGCTATAAATGCTGATTATATTTCAGTACAATCCTTCTGTTTCTTTCTTTCAGGCATTTTGTCCAAATTTCCGTATACATTTATCATCTCTCACATGGATGTTACTGCTACATGACTTATACATATCTTCCTTGAACTGATGATTCTAATAAAAAATACACTAAACAGTTATGATGTGTACAACCAAATTCAAAGAACTCTCAATTGGATAGATTATGAGCTTAACATATGCTTGTCAGAAAATGTATATTAAATCCAGTTCTCTTCGCGGCGGGCATTTTAAGCGGCGCAAAATCTGAATAGATCAGAGCTACGTGTATCAGAGGTTGCCGTATGCATATGCTTCCAGAAATAGGGGACATTTGGTTTGGACCAGGTTAGGTTAGTGCTGTGGTTATAATTTCTGCAAGGTACTGCGGTCCTTAGATGCGTCATTAGTCCCGAAGTTTATGTTCGTAATCTGTGGCGTCTGTGCCTCGAGCTTTCAGAACAACAATGTCTGAAGCGGTCTGAAGTGGTATAAATGGTTTTAAGTGTAAATGTATATTTGTGAGTGCTTGTGACTGTACTTGAAAGGTGTGCACAAGTGTAGACCAATAATATGATGAAATGTGTTGGTTTCGAGGTTCTCCCATTCGTAGTAACATCGCTTCCGTCTTCAGGGTCGAAGAGTAAGCCAAGCAATAATCTAGTAGAACCAAGCATCTGCTTCCGCTGGTTTCTTGCCTGGCTTGCTCTTCGACCCAGAAAATCAAGTTAATATGTTACGACTAAACGTCGGCCCTTCCCTGAACAGGTTGGTGTTGCAACCCAGAAGACCGTAAACTTCGATTTGCAGTGCATTTATGACACATGAACTGGTGTTTTAGATGTTACAAATATCATCATAATAATCATCTGTCAAGAGGACAGTCTCTTTCAAAAGAAGTCAGTAATACATAACCTAAAAAAGTTGGTCCATAAGCAGAAGAAATGTTGAGAAGCAAAATTACAGTTTTATGTCGGATGAGAATTAAAACATCAGTATGTTTGCATGTGAGTTGTGGAAATATGTTTACATGTAATACAAAACTGTCTGGTTGCGTGATGCTGAAATTAAACTTCCTGTCTAGTAGTTTTGAGAAAAGCGTAAATTACGAGGTCAGATCCCATTATAAACTCTCAGGCTCACAATGATTAGGAAGTGTTGCTAACTGAGAGAGATCACCATACAAAGCATACTCCTCCAAGGGATTACATGTGAGAGATAGAATTAAATTTGTGTCTCTGCATCAAGTGTATTGAAGTGCCTATTCTTAGAGAGGTTAAGGGATCAGTCTGTGTAACTTAAGATTCTGTCTTGGAATTCCATGTTGTGCACCTTTGTGAATATGATACTGAACCTAGAAGTGATATAATATGTAGTGAAACTTTTCATGCTATGAGCATCAAAGGGGAAGTCTAGAATTAGTCTCAGGATTCAATAACAATTCTGTATCTCCCACAATTATACATTCCTTCAGAAGTCTGTAGACATGTTCCATTATGTATGTATGTACTGTGTAATACATTACTTTTTGATTTTATTTGTTGCAGCAGAGGTATCTAGAACAATGCTTGCCACAGTCCTTACTGCAGAACGTGCGGCATGTTGCTGCCACACGTACCGTCAGTCACCAAAACACGCCATTCAGTTCCATGAAATGGATCCTTCTGGTAAGCCACAGATTATTATTGACAGTAACAAGACTCCAGCTATTATTAATTAAGAGTCAAGTTCGGGTAGAGTTGTCATAATTTGTTCTGAATATGTCCAGTTGCGGATGCTTATTATTAAAGAGGAAGATGTTACAAGGGTGTTCTTGGGGCAGTGCCACAGCTCGGGTTCCCAGCTTCCCACTGTAGCAGCCGTGGTATTATCCCAGGTCAGGTTGTGTGGGATTTATGGTGGATGATGTAGCACTGGGGCAGGATTTCCTTGAGTACTTCAATTTCCTCTACCAACTCTCATTCCACCAACTGCCCTGTATTCATTGATAATTTCATTGATGCTATATAGTCTCGATGCTGAGGCATCATTAAATAACAAAGTGTACCTAATCTGGGTACCCATATCAAAACAGAGTATTTCTGTTCCAGCTCATCCCCACCACCACGTTTGGCTTGGGAACGTGGCAGGTCCAGAGGCGCAAGTGGAAACGACAACTGATTGCAGACTTGAAGACAAGGACCAATGCTGCACCACGTGATCTCCCACTTGAGTATGAAGCTGTACTGAAAAAGGAAGCATAAATTTACTGTTGGGATCAGACATAGCCAGCTGATCCTCACCAGTTATGTTGTGTGTTGTTTGCAGTTTGGAGGAACTGTCACAGCTGGAGTACTGTCCTGTGCGTGTGCAGGGCCAGTTTGAACACTCAAGGGAGCTGTACATTGGACCTCGCACCTTGATAGCTGATGGTGATGCAGCAAGTCAGTCAAGCCTCACTACCCACAAGTCAGGAGTACAGTCTGGTTACCTTGTTGTTACCCCCTTCCATCTCTCTGACAGGGAGTAAGAAACAGCACTTCACGTTCTTTCAGTATGAATAATGCCAATTTTCCTTCTCATGGAAAAACAATGCATCAACAGTTCATTTATGCCAACTCAACAGCACTGATTATTCACACCTGTTCTACTGTCATCTGCATGTCTGATTGTTTCTACAGAATGCCGTAACATCTGTAGTTTCTATACAAAACCATCTTCCCATCTTTTGTCTTGATGGATTAGACCCTTTGACCTGTTCTTGTTCATAATTAATTAATTAATTCTGAAAATATGAACCTTATGGACAGTTCACAGAACTCCTCAGACAGGTGATCAGCCCTTTGCAAGGCCACTACTTACAAACATCACAATAAACACAGACATCCGTGCCTCAAGAGGAATTTCAATCCACAATCCCAGTATTTGAATGGATGAAGTCATTTTGTACCTTAGACTACGCAGTCACTGTGATCGACATCATTCTTATTGCGATATTTGTCTATATGATGATTTTTCATTACTTGATAAAATCGTTCACTACCTGTTATTTCTCGTATCTTATATTCTGATAATATTCACATAGTTATGGAACTTCAAAAGTAACTAACAATCCACATTCATCATTATATATCAGTGCTTTAAGTCACAAATACTTTATGTCCAATATACACAATTTTGGTAAACTTAATTTAAGGAAGTGTCATGATGCCTTCCAGTGTTTCAATAAAACCTGAATCGTGCTCTGCTTTATCTTAGTCCAATGTCCTGCCTCAGTTTCCATCTGACATTTCAGAACATCTCTTAATTTGTAACTTTTTCTCAGGATTACCATTTTCTGGGATGTAATGCCATGTAGTCTGGTGGACCACAGCTAGTGTTTTATACAAACCTGCCTCCTCCAGCGCAGAACCTGAAGATGGAGACAGCAGGTTCATCCAAAACATTGGTATCTGTCTACCATGCTACATGGCATTACATCTGAGAAGACAATTTTGGCGGTCACTGCCGTGAAAACTTCAAGTCTAACATGTATCTTTGTTTTCTAAATACACATTTTGGATCCCCATTAGCTTAAGTCATTTCCAACTAAATGAAATAATGATTAAACTGTTTTGACTATTGTGATGTTTTTAGTATGACCATTCTTGTGAATCGAGGATGGGTACCGGCAAATCACAAAAATCCTAACACACGGAAGGCAGGTCAAGTTGAGGGAGAAGTGGAGATTGTTGGAGTCGTACGACTCACTGAGAAGAGAGCTCCCTTTATGCCCAAAAATCAACCCCATGCTTGGTTCTACAGGTGTGTCCTTCTGTTTTGAAGTACTATATCACATAGACACCTCTGATAACACTGTGATGCGTTTTCGAAAGGAAAAGGTCATGTAATGTAACCAATACATTAATCCAGTTTAACGGACTACAATTAGGGATATAGTACCAGTACTCACTAAACCTGTACACAATACAAGACACCCCATATGATGCAGCAGTTTTGCCAGTAATACCATGCCGTGGAGATACATGGGAGAGTGGAGGTATAGCTCCACATATGCTTATGTCAGCACTACCTAGAGGTGACTGGTCATCTTCACAACTCAGCTACTTTACTCGCAGGAAAACAGCTCCAGTATCCATTTCATGGGCCCCAGAGCTGGCCTTGACACTGTGGAACAGAGAAGTCGCTCACCCCAGATGGGGAATTGCACCGTGATTTCTATCACCCAGCCCATAGCCTAGTCACTATACTTAAGGCGCGTCCACATTACTCGTGAGCATAGCGAGTCACACGAGCACGAGTAATGTGGACGCGCCTTTACACTGACTGAGCTGTCTGGCTCCTGCAGCTTTGCTAATATCAGGAATTAATAGATAATGTGCATGATTTCACTTATCCAATAGAGGCATATAAGTAAACTATACAAGATAGCAAGCCAGAGCAGTGGACATGACCAGTTATTTTGGTTCTCATCTGAAGCTTCATGCTTATGTGCAGAGATCTACCAAAGATGGCAGAAGCAGCAGGAACAGAGCCTGTGTTCCTAGAAGCAAAGGCAGAGACCACAGTTCCAGGGGGCCCTATTGGGGGGCAGACTCGAGTGTCACTAAGAGATGAACACTTATCATACCTGCTCACATGGTTAGTACATAAGCCATCATTACTGTGCTATTTGAAATTCTATTATCTGTAAACTGTTAAGACTAACTAGCATAAAGCCCCTTTAAATTCTGATGTGAAATGCAGTTATCAACCTTACACTAATTAACTAACTTTATGGAACCTGAAGGTTTATTACTGTGTTCACAAGAGCCCTCTGCTGATCCCTATCTTGATTCAGATTGTTCTAGTCCATGCTATCTCCTTAAGATTCGTTTTAGTATTATCCACCCACCAATGTCTTGGTCTTCCTAGTGGTCTCTTTCCTTCTGGCTTTCCCACCAATATCCCATATGCATTCCTTTTCTCCCCATTTATGTTACATGCCCAGTCCATCTCATCCTCCTTGGCATCCAGGTCTGGGGTCCTTTGTGACATGGAGGTAATATGTTCCTTCAAAAAGATTGGGCTTTCTCTGAGCTAACAGTGTTACAACCCAGAAGACTGCAATGTTCATAGTCACTGCCGTATGAACCTCAGATCTGAGGCACGAAGAGATATTTCCCAAAGGAGTGTTCAGGCATATATAATAATTTCTGTTTATGTATTAGTACTGTTGTGGTGAATAACACCACATTTTACTTGCATACAACTGTTGCAGTATAAAATTCATCAATCTCTTATAAACATTTACTTTCACACTACGCTGTGTTATTACAGGTATGGACTCAGCGCTACTACAGCATACATGTGGTACAGGCTCTTCATTGCAAGGAAACCTTTGCTATAGCAATGCTGTCCAGCCCTGTGGAATAGTTGAACTGCAAATAACAAGACGTGAAAAATCTACTAATAAATATAGATTGTAATTATGTCTAACTGTATATTATTGTGGACAAATAAATGGCTAATATTTTAGGCATAAAGTCTCAGAAAAATGGAGAACAGTACAGTGCGTTCACATTTCATGCAAATTTGAAATAGTGTAATATAAAAAATACTGAAGTCTCAATTCATGAGCAAAGTTTTAAATAATCTAAAATACCCCAAAATTCAAAACTTCTCCTGAATTATAGAACCTGACTAATTTGACAGCAAATTCTGTTGAGAATGACCAGGATTAAAAACACAAGCAGTACCTGGCTGAATAGTGAGTGCATGCAACCCCATCTACCCACTGTCCTCTTTCTGTGAACGTTCTCTATTAGATTCCATGTCCTGATACAGTGCAAGAAAGTGCAGTAGGAAAGAAATTCTGACACATTTTAAACTCTTGTATAACTGTAGAAAATGTTACCAATATTCATACTGTACAATTAATCAATCAGCTGTCAACTGTCTGTGAGACATCAGCCACTCTGTCAATGCAGTCAAATTTGGAAACATACCTTAGCGAGCCAAACATTGGATGTAAGAGAAGTGTGGGTATGCTAAACTCACCTCTCATCTCCATATAGTGCTGAAGTCTAGAATGTGTGGAGTTGTATCTTCACTCTCCCATACATCTTCATGGCATGGTAATTAAGCACAGAAATAATGTTACCTTTACATACAATGAAAACAAATGAACTCATGTTTTCTTTTGAACAGAACTATGCCCATGTTTACAAGTCATGTGATTATCCTCCAAAGGATATAAACCAACTGGATGAATGCTGATGGTCAGGTCACATTAAGAAGACTAACAGAACTTATGAAGATTGAGAATGGAATTTAATTATATATACATATGATTTAACATAAAATATCTTAATAGTCCATACAATTCAAAGTATTAAGCACCTAAAATGCAATTAAAAGTTCCATCTAAATTTAATGTTAATAAAAATAGAAGGATTTAAGCTCCATCTTTGGATAGACTGATTCGATCCTCGCACCCTGGTAACAAATAGTGGTGGTGTTTCTTTGGCAACACTTGATCAGACAGCAAAGGAAACAACATCTATAAGCTCTCAACATGACCCCTACCGAGAAACTTGACTACACATCGCACAGTGACCCGTTTTGCCTGCATTCACCTAGCTTATATTTTTGTATACAGTAAAACCTCGTCAATTCGATGCAAGTTAATTCAACTTGCTGCCTAATTTAATGTGTACTGCCCCACTCTTGAAAATACAATACTTCACAATGTGTTTATTTCAAAATATACTTAATTTACAATTCAAAGGTGTATTCAAAGCCCTGCAAGTAGTGAAGTTCAAATAGTTTAAAATTATTACACAAAACAGATTCTGGGATTCTCATTTTTTTCCCCCTTGGCACTACAGCCCCAGTGGGCCTAGGCCTACCTCCATGAACTTCTCCGTTCACTTCGGTTTTTCTAGATCTTACACATATGGTAGGACTCCTTGGGCAAGTGATCAGCTCGTCGCAAGGTCTCTACCTGTAGACAAACACAGAAAAACGCACACAAACATCCATGCCCT